ATGTCAGAGGGTTACTGATCTTTTGGAACCTTTGGGAGAAATTAGCAAGGAGTGTTGCAGAAAATGTAAGTTAAAGCATGAAGTTGTCATACACTTATCTTATGTTACTTGTGTTACTCTAAGTTTTACTCCTTAGAATTTTGGTTTTTGCAGGAGGTCTGCTCCAGGGCTTCGAAGCTGGCCTCACATGCGGGGAGGGGGGGGGGGGGCGGCAGCTCAGATAGAGAAGGAAACACACCAAGTAAAGGTGTTTGGAGGACTAGCTTGGGATGTGAGAAGCGTGCTGAAAGTAGACTATAGATCTAACACGATGGCCACTCAAAACCTCTGTTGCAAACTACAACACCCTAAAGGAAAGAGTGAGCAAAAGGGAATGCCCTGCCACAGAGGCAGGGTGGGGAGGAAGGGTTTGGGAGTGGGAGGGCTACTAGGATCATTGGTGGTGGAGAATGGGCACTGGTGGAGGGATGGGTACTCGATCATTGTACAACTGAAACCCAAGCACAAAAGTTTGTAAGTCTACAACTGTACCTCATGATGTTTCACTAATAATAAATAAATAAATAAATAAGAATTTTGGTTTTTGGTGGGTGTCTGCCAAGCGGCCTATAGGAGAGCCCTAGGGTCACCCCTGTCATACTTGGCCAAGCAGGCAGTCTGTTCAGTGTGAAGGTCCGAGGAAGCAGTGGTGATGAGGACCTCCGGGGCCACATTTGGCACAAATTTGTGCTCTCAGGGTTGCATCCAGTGATGCTCAGGACACTGAATCCAGATTGGACACACGTGTCAGAACCACTGTCATTTTGGAATAAGGAACCTGGAACCTTATGCTTTAGAAATTTTACAAAAACTTGGGGCTGGAGCAATAGTACAGTGGGTAGGGTATTTGCCTTGCATGCGGCTGACCTGGGTTCGATCCCTGGCATCCCATATAGTCAGGGATTCCCTGAGCACCGCCAGGAGTAATTCCTGAGTGCAGAGCCAGGAGTTACCCCTGAGTACTGCCAGGCGTGACAACTCCCCCCCCCCCCCAAAAAAAAAGAAATTTTACAAAATCCTTTTTTTTTTTTTGCTTTTTGGGTCACACCCAGTGACACACAGGGATTACTCCTGGCTCATGAACTCAGGAATTACTCCTGGCGATGCTTGGGGGACCATATGGGATGCTGGGAATTGAACCCGGGTTGGTTGCGTGCAAGGCAAACGCCCTACCCTCTGTACTATCACTCCAGCCCTATTTACAAAACCTCTTAGTACACGGAATGAGTCCAGAGCATTGACGCGAGGGGTAGAGCACAGGCCCTGGTTCCTGTGTCCAGTACTGAATGCCGGCCACCCCAGCACTGCTGGGTACGGTGCCCAAAAAAGCAAATCAATCAAGTTCATGGAGAAAAGGGTCAGTATTCATTTTGTCGGAATGTCCATGGCTGCCTTTTGTCACCCCTCAAATGCCCATCCAAGCGACGGACAGAATCTAATAACGGAAATCCTGGGGCAAGGGAGAGTGCTCAAAGCGTTGGAGCTGGACATCTGAGTTCTGTCTGACACCGTCCAGTACCTGAGTACCACCAAGAGCAACCCCACTCTGACAAAAACACAAAAAGAAAATAAGAACAGTAGTCTTGACTTTCCTTCTTTTGGGGGGATGGGAGGGGCGCCCACATTTAGCAGTGCTCACGGTTACTCCTGGCTCTGTGCTCAGGAATTAGTCCTGGTGAGCTCAGGGATCAGACGGGATGCCAGACCATAGGATGCCAAGGATGGAATTCAGGTTGGCCTCGTACAAGACAAACACCTTCCCACTATACTATCTCTCGCTCCTTGTTTTTATTTATTTTTTTTTTTGTGCCAAACCTGGAGGCATTCAAGGCTTACTCCTGACGCTATGCTCAAGATCACTCCTGATGTGGCTCAGGGGATCATAGAGGGCACCGGGGATCGAATCTGGTCATGTGTAAGGGCAGCGCCCCTATCCGCTGGACTATGGCTCTGGCCCCGTGATGTTCATGTCTTCGCTGTATCTGCTCGGGGTCTTCCCTCTTCCCTGTGACAAGAGTTCAATTCTGCCACACACCAAAAAAAAAAAAAAAAAAAAGAAAGAAAGCCCATGTGATTAGATAATTAAATCAAAGACAAAAACAATAATGGGGGGCTGGAGCAATAGCACAGCGGGTAGGGCATTTGCCTAGCACGCAGCCGACCTAGGTTCGATTCCCAGCACCCCATATGGTCCCCCGAGCACCGCCAAGAGTAATTCCTGAGTGCACGAACCAGGTGTAACTCCTGCGCATTGCCGGGTGTGACCCAAAAAGAAAAAAAAAACCCCACAATAATGGGACCGAGCGAGTTACCTAAAGTGTGATCAAATTAACCTTAACGTGGATGTGAGGAGAGTGTGGAAATTGCAAAGTGACTCTAATAGGACTCCAGGAATTCCAATCTGGATGCAATTTGGGGATTGCTGGAGGGAAACCCAAGAAGGAGGGGCCCTCTGAGAGGCCTGGCCCAACAGCTGTCAACTTGGTCACGGGGCGGGGTAGTACTGTAGAAAACGACTTAAAAACCTAACCAGAAGAATCGTAATTATGGGATTTCTTACTTTTTTCCTTTCACTTATTGTCTTCTCTTTTGTCACTCTGGAAACTGTGGTTCTTCTTCAGGACCCACTTTCACAGAATCGCCGAGTCTCAGCCCCCATCATCTTCCGCACCCTTCTCCTCCTACCCTTGAGCCTGATTTTCCATTTGTCTTGCGATGCTTTCTCCTACATTTCCAGCCCCAACTGGGTGTGAACCAAGTCCCTGGGGCCCATCCCAAAGGCATTCTCGAGCTTTTCCCCTGGTGCTGCTGCTGCTGCTTCTGGATGTTTTAACAGAAACCAGCAGGCAGCTGCTTCAACCATCATCTTAAACCTTTTAAACCTTTTCCTTATTTCCTGCTTTCCGCCTCCCTGCCTTTGGACCTGGTCTCCTTCTGGGTGTTCCTTTCTCTAACTCCTCCTTCCCGTCTTGTCTTTTGCACCTTCGGGGTCAGTGACGATGATGTCTTTGGCTCCGGGAGGACTTTCATCAACTTCTCTTCCCCTTCCTTGGCTTCCGTCCTTCAATCTTCCGCGTCCTCGTCGTTGTCAACCTCGATAGCTTCCTCCTCGAGCAAATCTTCCTCCTCATCCTCCACAATCTCTCGTTCCATCACGCCCTCCTCTTCCTCCACTCCCCCTCCTTCGAGGGGCTCGGGCTCGGGAAGCCCCTCCAAGGGCCCCTCCAGATCGCCCTCCATCTCTTCGTCCTCATCCTTGGCCGCCGACTCCTCCCAAGTCTTCCCGCCGCTCTCCACGGTCTCCGCGACGGATCTCCGCCTCTCGGCGGCCGATCTCCGCCGCTCGCCGCCGGTGGATCTCCGCCTCTCGGAGACGGATCTCCGCCTCTCGGTGCCGGCGCTGGATCTCCGGCCTTCCAGGGCGGACCTCGGCGCCTCGACGCTCGATCTCCGCCGCTCCCGGCTGGGCTTGGGCTCGGCCACGCTGGGCCTGCGGCTCTCCATGCTGGGCCTCCGGCTGTCCACGCTGGGCCTCGGCCCCCCCACGCTGGCTCTCCGGCCCCCCACGCTGGCTCTCCGCCTCTCCGTGCTCGGCCTCGGCCCCCCGACGCTGGCTCTCCGCCTCTCCGCGCCGGGTCTCCCCGCGCCGGCGCTGGACCGCGGCTCCTCCAGGCTGGGTCTCCGGCCCTCCGCGCTGGGTCTCCGCCCGTCCGCGCTGGATCTCCCGGACCCGGGGCTGGGGCGCCGGCCCTCCAGGCTGGACCTCAGGCTCTCCTCCGCCGAGCCCCGCTTCTCGGCGCTCGAGCCCCGCCGCTCCCCGCTCCTCCTCTTCTCCAGGGCCCACCGCTCCCTCCCGGGCCGCTCTTCGCTCAGCCTCAGTTTCTCCCCGCTCAGACTCAGCTTCTCCCCGCTCGGCCGCTCCCTGCTGAGCCTCTCGGCGCTCGGCCGCAGCGTCTCGCTGCTCCAGCGCAGCTTCTCGCTGCCCGCGCCCAGGTCCTCCTTGCTGGGGCCCAGCAGCTGGCGTCGGGCCCGCCAGCCCTCGGCGGGGCTCTGGCCGCGGAGCCGGGCCCGGTCCCTGTCGGCCTCCCGGCCCGCCCGCGTCGTCGGCGCCGCGGGGTCCCCCTGCGGGCTGCCGGGGCCCGCGCTCGCGGCCGGGGACCGGGGCTCGGCGTCGGACCCCCGCAGCGCGGGCCCCGCCCGGGCCCCGTCCGCGTCCAGCCGCCACTCGCCGGGCTCCGGCCTCGGCTCCCACGGGCCGGGCTTGGTGTTCCTGCGGCCCCGCAGCTCCATCCGCTTGCCGATGACGATGAGCCCGTCGCGGGGCACCCACTCCGGGTCGCGCAGCGCCTCGCGGCCGGCCGGCTGCGGTAACCCCCGCCGGGAGGCCCGCGGCCGGTCAGCGGCGCCCGGGCCGCCGGCGTGGTGGCGCCCCCTCGCCGCCCGGCGCGCCTTCTTTCGACGCCCCTTCATGCCGCGCGGCGGCGGAGCCCCCCACGGAAGCCCTTCTCCCCGGACAAGCCCCCCGGCCCTGGTCCCTGGTCCCCCGGCCTGCGCCCCCGCACCCCATGCCCCCCGCCCGCCCCGCCCACCGGCGGCGGGGCGCGAGGCGCGGCGCCACGCCCACGCAGAGCGCGCGGGGCCGTTGGGCGGGGCGGCCGGGGACCCGCCGGCTCGACGTCAGGGGAAGGGGCCGCGGCCCGCGACCCCGCGGCCCGGGAGTCCCCCGCCCCCACGCCCGCCCGGCGCCCGTTCCGGCGCCCTGAAAGGCGGGGGGCCGGCGCGGGGGCGACAGGCGTCTCGACCAATGGCGTGGCGGGTGGCAGAGCCGCCAGCCAGTGAGGAGGCGCGGCTTCCAGATGGGGCGGGAACCACTCCCGGCTGCAGGCGGCCGCCCGGCGGAGCGGAGGGGGTCTCGGTCAGCTGATAGGGTCCCCCTTCGCGCGGCCTGTCGGGGGTGGGGCGGGATTCTTGGGCACCGGGCTGCGGGAGCACGCTGACCGGGGACAGCCGCGGAATCTTGCCGGTGTGCAGCTGCACGGAAAGGGCTGGGGATGGAGGAGCACCTAGAGGATGGGAAGGAGAGCAAGGTAAAGGAAGGCTGCAGAGCCCGTCGAGCCGCCGTCTCCCTCCCGGGGACCCGGGGACCCCAGCCGGGGCGTGCAGGAGGGGAGCGGGATCTGTGTGTGTGTGTGTGTGTGTGTGTGTGTGTGTGTCTGTGTGGCGCCCCCTGCATGCATGGACAGGGGAGACGAGCGAGGGGGGTTGGGACACCTGTGTGTGTGTGTGTGTGTGTGTGTGTGTGTGTGTGTGTGTGTGTGTGTGTGGCGCCCCCTGCATGCATGAGCTGGAGAGGGGAGACGAGCGAGGGGGGTTGGGATACCTGTGTGTGTGTGTGTGTGTGTGTGTCTCGACCCCCGCATGCGTGAGCTGCAGAGGGGAGACCGAACGAGGGGGTGGGACCACCTCTGGGGGGACGCCCCGCCCCCCCATGCATGAGCTGGAGAAGGAAGACCGAGCGAGGGGGGGTGGGATACCACTGTCGCACCTGCATGGGGACCGCTGAGGATGCCAAAGGAGGCAGGGCTTGGTTTACCTTTGCCCCGACAGATAGGAAAGGCTCCGACACTGTCACTTCTCCCAAGGGCAGCTCAGAGTGGCTTGATGGGAAGAAGGGGAGAGGCGGGTGGGCGACTGGGACGGGAGAGGGAAAGTCCCGGCTCCAGCACTGAATGGCTGCCTGTGCTCATCTGTGTCCACATACATGCGCCTCACATCACCCTCGGGCTTCATTCGATGAAATAGTTTTTGAGTGTCCTTGTGCCAAGGATGGTTCTGGGGCTGGGCACCCAGAGGCACACTCTTTGGGGAGGGTGGAGGCATGGGTAGAGGGGCTGTGACTGAGGATAAGGATGGAACCACCGTAATCCCTCCTGGAGGTCCCAGCTCCCGCCAGCACTTAACAAGAACTGCCCGGGCCAGTGTAGATTACACAGGAGCGGCTGGGAGGAGATAAGGCGGCCCCAAGCCAGACTGCAGCGGGAGGCAGCAGGTGGACGGAGGGCAGGACGGTGTCTCTTTCGTGGCCTCTCTGCGTTCACATTTATGGCTAAGTCAACATATATAAATGCTCCAACAGTGCCTGGCATAATGCAAGAACACAGGGGCTGGAGAAATAGGACAGCGGGGAGGGCATTTATCTTGCACGCAGCTGACCCGGGTTTGATCCCCAGCATCCCATATGGTCCCTCAAGCACCACCAGGAGTAATTCCTGAGCTCAGAGTTAGGTGTAAGCCCTGAGCACCACTGGGTGTGACCCCCAAACAACAACAAAAATAATAACGATTTAAGAACATAAATAGTGTGGATTGCCATATTATTTTTGTTACTGTTATTAGCACTGTTGCCATAAGGGCTGGTCTGTGTCCTAGGGCTAGGCTGGGCTCTCAGCCTGACATTCTCACCCCTAGCCTTCGTGTCAGATTCTCTGAAAGTCCACCAGTAGATTTTCTCCTAAGATTCTCCTTGTGGGGGCTGGAGAGATAGCACAGTGGGTAGGGAGTTTGCCTTGCACGCGGCCGACCCGGGTTCGATTCCCAGCATGCCATATGGTCCCCTGAGCACCGCCGGGAGTAACTCCTGAGTGCAGAGCCAGGAGTAACCCCTGTGCATTGCCAGGTATGACCCAAAAAAAGAAAAAAAAAGATTCTCCTTGAAATATGCCCTCCCGTTGATCATTGATTTGCTCAAGCAGGCCCAGTAACGTCTCCATCGTGAGACGTTACTGTGTTTGGCATATCGAGTATGTCACGGGGAGCTTGCCAGGCTCTGCCGTGCGGGCGAGATACTCTCGGTAGCTTGCCGGGCTTTCCGAGAGGGGCGGAGGAATCGAACTCGGATGGCCATGTTGGCTGCGTGCAAGGCAGACGCCCTACCGCTGTGCTATCGCTCCAGCTCCAGCCTTGAAATATGAAGGAATAGAATAATTGATGAAGACGCAAATGCAAATGTCATAGAGGAGAAAAAAATATAAAATGAGTAATCTGGGGTCGGAGTGATTGTACAGCAAGTAGAGCGTTTGCCTTGCACGCAGCTGACCCAGGTTCATTCCCCAGCATCCCATACGGTCCCCCAGCACTGCCAGGAGTAATTTCTGAGTGAAGAACCAGGAGTAACCCATGAGCACCCTCCTCTCTCTGAGAAGCCCACATTCTCTCTTAAACACGTTATTTCTCTCTCTCTCTCTCTCTCTCTCTCTCTCTCTCTCTCTCTCTCTCTCTTTTATTTTGTGTTTGGGGCACAGCCAGTGATGCTCAGAAGTTACTCCTGGCTCTGCACTCAGGAATTACTCCAGGTAGTGTTCAGGGGACCATATGGGATGCTGGGGATTAAACCTGGGTCAACCATGTGCAAAGCAAGTACCCTACTTGCTATACTGTCTCTCCAGCACTTTTTCTCTCCTTTTAATAACATTTTTTTTAGTCACACCCGGCAATGCACAGGGGTTACTCCTGGTTCTGCACTCAGGAATTACTCCTGGCGGTGCTCGGGGGACCATATGGGATGCTGGGAATCGAACCTGGGTCGGCTGCATGCAAGGCAAACGCCCTATCCGCTGTGCTATCTCTCCAGCCCCTTAATAACATTTCTTTGCTTAAAAAAGAAATATAACTTTTAGATTTTTTTTTGGCTTTTTGGGTTACATCTGGTGATGCTCAAGGGTTACTCCTGGCTCTGCGCTCAGGAATTATTCCTGACGGTGCTCGGGGATGCTGAGGATCAAACCCGGGTCGGAGCAAACAACCTCCCCACTGTACTATCATCCAGCTTGAAATACGACATTTTTGTTTGTTTTTGTTTGGGACCACACTCAGTGTTTGGGGGCTTCTCCTGGCTAAGGTCTCAGTGGTTGGTCCCCATAGTTCTGGGTTCTCAGGGGATCATGTGATGCAGGGATCGTCCCGGGCGTTCCTGCTTATGAAGCTTTGTCGGCCCACTGAGCTATCTCCTCACCCCTAAGAGACATACTTTAAATGTAGGATGATGAAGCTCATCAGGGACCCCCCCCAGCCATGCATGTGCTTCAACCTAGAGAAATGGAGTTGCTGGGCCCCGTGATACGGGACCACAGAAGCTACACCAGGCAGTGCTCAGGGGGCATGGAGTTCTGGGAATTGAATTGGGGTCTTTGCAGGCAAGTCATGCACTCCAGAATTTAAGTTTTCTCCAGCCCCCCCCCGAAAATTTTTTTCTTTTTAAATTTTTTTTCAGAGAAATGTGTTTGGGATTTAAAATTGTGCACTGTTAACATCTGACCAAAGAGATCTGGTGTTGAGCAGTGCAGCTAAGAGCACTGCAACCTGATGCATCCCCAAAGAGAACCACCATTAAATATGCGTGCACCACCTCTAAATGTGCATGAACTAGAGATAGGAGTCTGTGCCGCCCTCGTCCCTATCATCACAACAAGAACAATGATGAAAGGGAAACATCAAAATTAATAAATTTGGGATGAACATATGGTCTCCCAAGCATTCCTGAATGCAGAGGCAGGAGTCACCCTGGAGAATCTCTGGGCATGGTCTAAAAGCAAATGAAAAAAGTTGAAAAAAAAAAAATAAAGTCACAGGAATTCCTGAAACATGGCCTGGGCTCAAATCACCTTGACCCAAAAGGTGAGAGAGAGACGGAAACAGAGAAACAGAAAGTGGCAGAGACAGAGACAGAGACAAAGAGAGAGGATAAAAGTGCCTGCCATAGGGGTTGGAGCAATAGCACAGCGGGTAGGGCATCTGCCTTGCACGCGGCCAACCCGGGTTCGATTCCCAGCATCCCATATGGTTCCCTGAGCACTGCCAGGGGTAATTCCTGAGTGCGGAGCCAGGAGTAACCCCTGTGCATCGCCGGGTGTAACCCAAAAAGCAAAAAAAAAAAAAGTGCCTGCCATAGAGGTAGGGGTGGGCAACGGGAAACTGGGGCACCGGTGATGGAAAATGTACACTGGTGAAGGGCTAGGTGTTGGGACATTTTATGATTGAAATCCAATCAAACAACTTTGTCACTGTATTTCACTGTGATTCAATTAAAACATTCTTTTTTAACTTTTTGGGTCACACCCGGCAATGCACAAGGGTTACTCCTGGCTCTGCGCTCAGGAATTACTCCTGGCAGTGCTCAGGGGACCATATGGGATGCTGGGAATTGAACCCGGGTTGGCCGCGTACAAGGCAAACGCCCTACCCGCTTTGCTATTGCTCCAGCCCCTAAAACAATTATTTTTAAAAAAATAATAACCATTCAAAACATAAATTCGGGATGAAAAAATAGTACAGCGGATAAAACGCCTGCCTGCATAAAGCCAACCTCACTTTTTTACCAGCACCACATATGGCCACCCAAGCACTGCCCGGAGTGGGCCCTGAGCAAGAGCCAGGAAGGAGCTTTCAACACTGACAGTATGCCCCCCAAGCCCAAAATAAATTAATACATAAATAAAATTGATTTTTAAAAAGGATGCTATGGTGGTTATATTAATTTCAAAGTAGACTATAATTCAGAGAATTATTACTAGAAATAAAGAGGGACATTTTAGGGCCAGGGAGATTACTCAGTAGGCCCACTATGTGCTCCGCATGCAGGAAACCCGGGTTCAATTCCTGGCAATGCTGGTCCCCTGAGCACCAAGCCAGAAGTAGCCCCTCCTGAACACCAAGCTGGGAGAAGTCCCTGAGCACCAGCAGGTGTGGCCGCAAATTGACACAATACTTGTTCTTAAATATAGAGGGACGCATTAGGGTTGGGGAATTAACTCAAAGGCATGTGCACAAGCTTTGTATGCCAGAAACCCAGGTTTACTCCCCACCACTGGTGTCCTGAGCACCACCAGAGATGACCCCTGAGCACTGAGTCAGGAGTAGCACCTGAGCACTGCTGGGTGTGGCCCCAAACCATACCAACAAAGAAAAGGGGCATTTTACAGCGTTTAACCCTCAATTCAGGAGCTGAAGCAATAGTACGGTGGGGAGGGCATTTGCCTTGCACGCGGCTGACCCGGGTTCAGTCCCTGGCATCCCATGTGGTCCCCCAAGCACGGCCAGGAATAATTCCTGAGTGCTGAGCCAGGAGTAACCCCTGAGCAACGCTGGGTGTGACCCAAAAAGCAAAAACAAACAAAAAACACCAAGTCAATTCAGGAGCCAAATACGAGTAGAGTGTGAAGACACTGGCCTTATGTGAGTCTGACCTTGGTTTGGACCCCAGCACACATGTGGTCTTCCAAGCTCCTCCATGAGGGACCCCTGGCCACAGAGCCAGGAATAACCCCTGAGAACTGCCAGGGGTGGCACAAAAGCAAACAACAGCAAAAAAAAAAAAAAGGTCAAGGAAAATGGAAGAATCCTAAATCTCTAGGTATCTAAAACATTTTCAAAATCTGCACAATCCAAGATGACAAAACTAAAATGGGTTGTAGAAAATCCTACGCTTACTCTTAGGAGGTCTAACAAAAGGCTCAGTAATTCCTACAGTTAAAAGAAAAATTCAGTATTTTTTTTTTTTACTGAATTTTAAGAGTACTGAGAGAGTACAATGGGAAGGGCATTTGCCTTGTACGTACCATACCCAGATTTGATCCCCAGCATCTTATGGTCCCCTGAACACCGCCAGGAATGAGCCTTGAGCAGCACAGAGCAAGGAGGTAGCCCTGAGCACCCCTAGAGTAACCCCCAAAGAAACAAAAATTCATTTTCTGGGGCCAGGGCAATAGTACAGTAGGCAGGGTGCTTGCCTTGCACAAGGCCTACCCAGGTTTGATCCCTGGCACCTCGTGGTTCCCTGAGCCTGCCAGGCGTGGTCCCTGAGTGCAGAGCCAGGAGGAAGTCCTGAGCACTGCTGGGTGAGGCCCCACAACAAAACAAACACAAATACTTGTGTGAGGGCGAAGGCCAGGAAGAGCAGCCTGGGGCCGCAGAGATAGTACAGCAGATCAGACTCAATCTTCAGTACTCCATACGGCCCCCAGGGCACTGCCAGGACTGATCCCTGAGTGATAGCCAGCGGTAAGGCTCACGCACATGTGACCCAAAAGCAAAACTAAAATAAATAAAAATGAAATCGTAACAAATTCATCCAGTACATTTAAACTCGGAGGCAGAGCCAGAGCAGTGGTACAGCAGGGAGGGCATTTACCTTGAATGCAGCCGACCCGGGTTTCATCCCTGGCACCCCATATGGTCCCCCAATCTTGCCAGGAGTGAGCTTTCAGCCGAGCAAGGAGTAATCCCTGAGCACAGTCAGGTGTCGCCCCCAAATTAAAACAAACAAAACTCCAACCCTACAAAGAAGGTTACGTAAGACTGGAAAGCAGGAGTTGATGCCCTGTAGTGGAACCCTTGCCTGGCATGGGTGAGGCCCTGGGTTCCATCCCCGGCCCTGCCAACCACACCAAACCCAACCCACATTATTGAGAAAAAATAAAGACATGCTACTCATTGCAAAGATGGTCTGTGATCATTAGAAGGTCAATATTACAATTTTTTAAAATTTGCTTTTTGTTTTGGGGTCATACCCAGCAATGCTCAGGGCTTACTTCTGGCTCTGTGCTCAGGGATCACCCTTAGTGAGATCAGGGGATCATACGGGATCAACTGCAGATAGGCTGCATGAAAGGCAAGCGCCTTATCTGCTGTGCTGTTGCTCCATCCACAAGAGAAGGTCAGTATTGTAAATAAGGGGCTGGAGAAATGGTGCGGAGGAGAGGCCAGAGAGAGAGTACAACAGGGAAGGTGCTTGCCATGCATGAAGCCAACCTGGGTTTGATCCCTGGCATTCCATATATCCCCTGAGCACTGCCAGGAGGGTAGAGCCAAGAGTAACCCCAGAGGGCTGGAGCGACAGCACAGTGGGTAGGGCGTTTGCCTTGCACACAGCCAACCCGGGTTCGATTCCCAGCATCCCATATGGTCCCCTGAGCACCGCCAGGAGTAATTCCTGAGAGCAGAGCCAGGAGTAACCCCTGTGCATTGCCAGGTGTGACCCAAAAAGCAAAACAAGAGTAACTCCTGAACACCACTGGGTATAGCCCCAAAATCAAAAATAAATAAACTTTAAAAATTTAACTAAAAAAAAAAAAGGTGGGTTAGATGCTTATCTTGCACCTGGCTGACCTGGGTTCGACCCTCAGCACCCCATATGGCCCTCCAAAGCATTCCAGGAGTAATCGCTGAGCACAGAACCACGAGTAAGCCTTGAGCACTGTCAGAGCAGACGCATGGCGACCGGAAGAGTCATGCAGCGCTGACGGGAGAATACGTTACTATAACCCCATGGAAAAATCACATTACGGTATCCGTAAGAGCGTTCTCTTTTGCGTGTGTTTGTTTTGAGTCGTGCCTGTCCGTGCTCAGAGGCTATTCCCGGCTCTGTGCTCAGGAGTGACCCTTGGTAGGACTCAGGGGACCATCTGTGGTGACCGATTCAGCTGGGTCAGCCACGTGCAAGGCAAGTGCTTTACCCCGTACTATCTCACCAGCCCCTGAGTTTTACACACGTGCCTGGGTTTTACCCACGTCCCCTTGCAGTGACCAGGCATTCCCACAGGAATGAGCCCTAGTGTCCTTCAAATGTCTTAGGCAAGAATGTACACGCCAACTGTATTCATGCCACCGCAAGCTCGAATCATGCAGGGCCCACCAAAGGGAGGGGGCATGTTGGCCAAGGGCCTCCAGATAACAAGCGCGGCAGGCAGTGAGACAGTCGCATTCTCTGTGCACGGGGCTGACAGTGACCAGGGCCGCACTAGGGCTCATACACTGTCACCCAGCGTTTCTGGAGTTCAAGGTCAGGGCAAGTCATGATGAGAGAAGTCAGGATTGTGGCCCGCTGATCACAGAGCCTGCAGGGGAGAGGCGGGCAGGTGGTGGGTTTCGATACTGCGAGCCTGCTGGCGAGCTGAGTGGCCCCGAGCCTTCGTCCTTCTTTGTTTCACCCCTGTGGACACCGGCGGCCTTCAGTAAACCCTTTCGCTCAGTGCGAGAATGAGCAAGCGGGGGCCAGAGTGACAGTTCGGTGGGTAGGGCGTTTGCCTTGCATGCAGCTGACCCGGGTTCGGTCTCCAGCATGGCCTGGAGTGATTCCAGAGCCAGAGCCAGGAATAACCCCTGAGCATCACTGGGTGTGGGCCCCCAAACAAACTACTGAAAATGAGCAAGCCAGGGGCGGGAGTGATAGTACAGGGGGGAGGGCGTTTGCCTTGCATGTGGCCCATCTGGGTTCGATCCCGGCATCTATATGATCCCCTGAGCATCACCAGGAGTGATTCCTGAGTGCAGAGCCAGGAGGAACCCTTAAACATTGCCAGGTGTGACCTAAAAAAAAAAAGAAAAGAAAAAAGAATGAGCAAGTCAGCTGGGGTGTGGCTCAGCCAAGGAAGCCTTGGGTTCAATTCCTGACCCCCAGAATGAAAAACAATAACCAGGTCGCTCAGTGCCTCAAGGACCTTTTCACTGGGCAAAGGACACGTGCTTCCTTTCTGAGGGAGGGAAAGTAGGGGGCAGAGTGGCAGCAGAACCCCAGAACCCCAGCGTCCCCACCCGCTCACTTTCTACCGGTAAGCATGTCTCAGGTGGCTGAGTAAGAGCTTGAGGCAGGAATTAGCGCAGCCTGGACACCTCGCAGCTCAGCCCTCCAGCCTGGGGGGGTTCTTCCTCTCCTCTGGGGGGGCTCAGCTCCCGCACCTGTAAAATGGGGAGACTTGGACTGGGGAGGTTGCTCGGCCATAGAGCACTGGTCTGTGAGGCCCTGGGTTGGATTCCATTAAGAAAAAAAAAAAAAGAGGGGGTTGGCCAGAGCTGTAGTCCAGCCGGGAGGGCATTTGTCTTGCATGCGGCCAACCTGGGATCGATCCTCGGCATCCCATATGGCCTCCCAGCACCGCCGGGAGTCATTCCTGAGTGCAGAGCCAGGAGTAACCCCTGAGCATCGCTGGATGTGACCCAGAAAGAAAAAAAAGAGGGGGATGAGGAGGGTGGGGTGAGAGCCCAACAGGCACTGTGGAAACCTGAGGACGGCGGGCAGGAAAGGGGGGGCCAAGGGGCGTGGCCAGTGGTATCAGGCGCCCCCTCCCCACAGCCCCCTGGCTCCCAGGACCCCGCGGAGACCTCCCTGCAGGTGGAGATCTCCGACGCCGTGAGCGAACGGGACAAGGTGAAGTTCACCGTACAGACCAAGGTGCGCCTGCGCAGGTGGTGAGCCCGGGAGCTGGCCTGTGGGATGGCAGGCAGGTGCCAGCTTGGCCCTGGGCCCCCAGCTGGGTAACCCTGGAGGCTTGGGGCGGGGGTCGAGGGTTCGCGGGGAAGGGCAGACCCCTGCCACGCGCCGCCCCCTTTCCAGAGCTGCCTGCCGCACTTCGCGCAGCCCGAGTTCCGCGTGGTCAGGCAGCACGAGGAGTTCGTCTGGCTGCACGACACCTACGTGGACAACGAGGAATACGCCGGCCTGATCGTGAGGCGCGGGGCCCCGGGTGTGGGGGTGCAGCGGCGGGGGGCCGGGGTGCGCGACTCAGCCCGCCGCTGCTCTCTGCGCAGATCCCGCCGGCTCCCCCGAGGCCCGACTTCGAGGCTTCCAGGGAAAAGCTGCAGAAACTCGGGGAGGGCGACGGCTCCGTGCCGCGGGAAGAGTTCGCCAAGATGAAGCAGGAGCTGGAAGCGTGAGTGGCCGCTCCCTGCCCTGCCCTGCCCTGTCCACTCGCCACTGGGGGGTGCAGGGGAGCCTTGCAAGCCTGGGGTCCAGCCTCGTCCGCCGTCCGCCGCAGGGAATACCTGGCGATCTTCAAGAAGACCGTGGCCATGCACGAGCGCTTTCTGCAGCGCCTGGCGGCGCATCCCACCTTGCACCGAGACCACAACTTCTTTGTCTTCTTGGAGTACGGCCAGGATGTGAGCCGGGGCCGGGACCGGGGCTGGGGCTGGGGCGGGGCGCGCGGGGAGGCTGGAGACAGGCCGGACCGCGATGGGGTGCAGCACCCCCCCACGCCCAGCTCACCCCCCACCCCCATCCGTGCGTCAGCTGAGCGTGCGGCGGAAGAACAGGAAGGAGGTCCTGGGGGGCTTCCTGAGGAATATCGCCAAGTCGGCGGACGAAGCCCTCATCACCGGCGTGGCCGGCCTCAAGGTGAGCGCAGGCCCGTCCTGGCCTCACCCCACGCGAGGCGTGGCCGCCGGACTCAGGGGCCGCTCTGCCCGCCGCAGGAGGTGGACGACTTCTTCGAGCACGAGCGGACCTTCCTGCTGGAGTACCACGCGCGCATCAGGGACGCCTGCCTGCGGGCCGACCGCGTCATGCACGCCCACAAGTGTACGGTGCCCGTCCCGCTCCCCCACCCCCCTCCCGGCCCACGCACGGCCGCAGGGCCCGGGGAACGGCTGATAGAGGACTGTCCCCCGCAGGCCTGGCCGACGATTACATCCCCATCTCGGCGGCACTGAGCAGCCTGGGAGCACAGGAAGTGAACCAGCTGAAGACGTGAGGGCGCCCCTTGCCTGTCTCCGCCTGCAATTCCGGGGGTGCCCGCCAGGGGTCGCTCCTCGGGGTGGGGGGAGGTACTTGCAAGTCCTGGGTGGGCGCTTTGGGCTAGGGGTTCGGGAGACTGCACAAGGGGGCGCGTTCCCTATCAAGAGGCTCGGGGCTGGGAGCCTGACTCCGCCCACTGCCTCCTAGGAGCTTCCTCAAATTGGCCGAACTCTTTGAACGACTGAGGGTGAGTCTGGCCCACTGGGTTGAAGGAGCACCAAGGGATTCTTTGTCCGGAAGGCACAGCGGGCAGGAGAGCGCAGGGGATCGCTTTGTCGTTCGTTTTCCATTTTGGGGTCACAGCCAGCAGTGCTCAGGGATGACTCCTGGCTCTGCACTCAGGGTTCATCCCTGGCAGGCTCCGGGGATCAAATGGGATGCCGGGGATTGAACCCGAGTCAACCGTGTGCAAGGCAGGAACCCTCCCCGCTGTTACTAGGGGATCACTTTGGAATGTTCAGGAATAACTTGGGCCCCGTGACGCTGGAGACTCCCCCTGACCGCCCCCACCCAGGCCAGCTTAACAGGCGGCAGGGCAGAGCCTCAATTCTGTGGCGGGGGCAGCAGGAAACCTGGCTTGGTGAAGGAGGTGCCACGCGCCTCTGGCCAGCCGCACCGTGCTGCCAGTATCCTGGCCCAGACACACACTTCCTGAACTCTTTTCCAAGAAAGTCACTGGTGTGTGCCAACCTTTCTAACGTCTGTCCGCCTGCCGCTTGTCCCTGCTTGAGACCCGCCAGCGATCCTGTGCCTGCTAGAAACTGCCCGAGATGCAAGGTGCAAAGTCCTTAGCTTGCACTTAAGGCCATTCTAGCAACTTGGGGTTCCCTGAGCACCTGGGCTCACACATAATTCCTCCTCACCCCCACCCCGGGCCCCTGCCAAGGTCCAGGTGCCACCTCCGGGAAGCCTTCCCTGGTGCATCCCCTGGCCCCTGAGAGCTCCCAAAGTTCCTTCCCAGCCCTCACCTCTCTGATTCAGAAGCTGGAGGGCCGGGTGGCGTCGGATGAGGACCTCAAACTCTCCGACATGCTGCGCTACTACCTGCGGGACTCACAGGCGGCCAAGGTGAGGCCGCGCTCAGGGCCGCAGCCGGTGGGGTGGGTCACGGGGAGGCCAGGCAGGTGAGGGTCCGAGGGGCCGGGGTGAGCCTGTGGCGCGTCGGCCGCAGGACCTGCTGTACCGGAGGCTGCGGGCCCTGGCAGACTATGAGAACGCCAACAGGGCGCTGGACAAGGCGCGCACCAAGAACCGGGAGGTGCGGACCGCTGAGAGCCACCAGCAGCTGTGCTGCCAGCGCTTCGAGCGACTCTCGGACTCGGCCAAGCAGGGTAAGGGGCATGGGCCAGGGTCCCCTGCGAGGCTGGCTCTGCCCCCAGGGGTCCCCAATCCCCTGCCCTCTCCCCGCAGAGCTCATGGACTTCAAGTCCCGCCGCGTCTCCTCTTTCCGCAAGAACCTGGTTGAGCTGGCAGAGCTGGAGCTCAAACACGCCAAGGTGAGTTGGCCATCCGAGTGCCCCTCCCGCCCCAGGTCCTGGCGGGACCCTTCCCTCCCTGCAGGAGCCCTGCCAGGACTCCCACCTTGCTGAGAACAGGGGTGCGGAGGGCAGGGCCTCGAGTTATCTGAAGTGCAGCCTTGGCTTGGGGCGGGGCAGGCCAGGGACCTGGAGGACGGTTTCCTTGCAGGCCAGCACGCTGCTTCTCCGCAACACCCTTGTCGCCCTCAAGGGGGAGTCCTAGAGCAACCACCGCAACCGACATTTTTACTCGGACCCCAGCTCTCCCCCACTGTAGCCACCGGTTTATACCCTATGACCTCCCAAGGTGGACCCGAGCCCCAATCCCATCTCAGGGTGCCAGGCCCTGCAAGATGGCAAGGCAGCATGGGCACCCTGGGCCACAGGTAAGCCGGAGCCAGCCCCGCTAGACCCAGGACTGAGCACCCGCCCCAACCATTCCAGTCTGTTTCCTATGAAATAAAGCTTGGCTCTGTATAACCGCGGCCGGCACTGCGTCTCCTCACTCCCACGGCCTCCTGGGGCACTCTGGAAGCCAGACCCCAGGGACACTCCACGGGGCTCCCCCGCGGGAACCCTCAACTGCTTCCAGGCTCAGCAGGTCCTTCCGAACCCCACAAAGCCCACACTCAACTCCAGAACAGTGTCAAGGCTCGCCGCCACCCCCACCCCCCTTGGACTGGAGGGCGGCATGCACCAACCTGCAATGGAAAACGCCCCCGACCCCACCCCACCCCCACCCCAGCTGCTTAGGTCGATGGCACAGAAACTAGAAGTCTCAAGTCACCATCTCGGCAGACCCTGGGAGGGTTCTAGAACACCCTCACCTGCCTGGCAGGTAATGGCCCTACAGGCAGGCCAGAGCCCAGGGCAAGGTTGGCCAAGGCGCTGAGCCCCAGCCAACACCCTCTTGGTTAAATACAGGGAGCAGGGCTGGGACACTGGGTCTGAAGTCCTGGCTGCACCTGACCGGCCCTGCCCAGTGTGCTAAATGCTCAGCTCACTTCTGACGCACAGCAACCCTGGGCCCAACCCGCCCTCGTGAGTCAGCCACGCGGCCCGCCCGTGAGGAAGGCAGAGGCCAGGGCTGAGACGGAGAGACAGTGCCCATGAGGGAGCCTGGCCTGCTCACTCCACAGCTGCCTTCCTCTGGGCAGGGCGGGGCAGCTAGCAGGCCTGGAGTCGGCAGTCGGGGTCCCTGCAGCCTGAACCCCGGCTCCACTTTCTCAAGTAGCCAGACACCAGCCGGGACCACCTGAGAACGTGAGGGCCGGTCTTGGGGAGCAAAGAGGACGAGCAGGAATTGGCCGAGGTCAGGTCTGGGGCTCCTTCCTCTGCTACCTGTGGGCCCCGAGCCTGAGACAAAGACCACACCAGGAGGCTTTTTATTGTTGTGTTTTTTTAATTGAAGGTCCCTTAGTCTTAGTGCTCCAGGAGTGGAGAGGCCAAGGGGAGGGGAGGGGTGAGGCGCGCAGAGGGGGTCATCTCCACAACGTTCCATTACACACAGAACTAAACAGACAAGCACAGAGTCACTATTGTGGTTAGAGTTGGCAGCATGGGAAAGGGGAAGCAGGTGGGGAGGTGGGGTGTCGTTAAAAAAAATACAGGTCCCCCAAAATTGGGGTGCCTGGGGGGGGGGGACTTGGTCTGCTTCAACCCAAGAGGAATCAGAAGATCAAAAAGCAGTTTGGGAAGGCCAGAACCGTCGGGGATGGAGGGAAGAGGAAGGTCCGGGGGGTGGGGGGGCTGTTTGGCAAATGGGTGAAGGGTTTGCCCTCCCCCTGCTGGGATCCCCCAGCCCCTCAGGTCTGGCAGGAAGGGGGCAGCCTGCAACCCCCGGAGGCAGCTCGGCCGCCAGATGCTCCAGGCAGGGGGCTGGAGGGGGCTCACAACGGCTTGCCCTCCAGGGAGATGACGGCGCTACCCCCCAGCTTCTCTGCCAGGGTGCAGCGGTCCTTGACCTCCTCGTAGCAGTTTGCTTGCAATTCGTGCTTGATTCCTGCAGGGAAAAGCGGGAGCATCTGTGAGCGGGAGGGGGAGGGGCTGCGGCTGGGAAGGAGCCCACAGAACAGATGGGAGGAAGGGAAGCGGCGCGCCCGCCCGGCCCAGGCCCCAACCCTGGCCCTTACCCGTCAGCTTCTTCTTGATGGCATCCTTGGAGCTGGCGTAGATCATTTTGCTCTTAAGAGGCGCAGACTCTGGGGCCCTGGGAGGGAAGGCGCCTGTTACTCAGAGCTAATGGCCTACCGCCCTCTAAGACCCCCCCTGGGCTGGCCACTAGCACCCACACTTGGCTGTTACCAGTCCGCCTCAGCACAGACACCCCCTCCCAGGGAGGGCCCAGAGCCACAGAGGTCCCTGGAGGCAGCTGCCAGGGCTCACCAGAAGATGAACACCAGGTCTTCCTTCTTGCTCTCCTTGGTCTCGTAGGTCGCGTCATAGAGGGCGTAGCGGCAGTCCTTGTCGGGCAGCATCTTGACAAAGGTGGCGTAGGGGTCGTCCACGGTCTGGCCCACGTCGCCCACCAGGATCTCCTTGCCCTCCTCCAGGATGATGTTCTTCTTGTCCTCGCTCAGGCAGAAGAGCACTGCCTTCTTGCGCTTCTTCACCTCCTCGGGGGTGGACGACTTGCGCACCTTCATGTCATTGAACACCTTGATGACACCATCGGACACAGCCACGCCGGAAGCCTGGGGGACAAGCCACACCCGCCCGGTGAGGAAGAGCCTCCGGGAACTGCTGCCCTTGCTCTCTCGGGAGATAGGGTGCCACGAGAAGAGCCCCCAGGCCGAGCCACTCCTTCCCTTGACAGGTGCCAGTTTCCCCACCCACATCGCAAAGGATCACGCCACGCCCAGAGTCAAGGGGCAGCAGGGACTGTCCCCAGGGAGAGCAGCGCCGTCCCCACCCCTCAGGCTAGACACGGAGCCCCACAAGGGGACCAGAGGACCAGGAGCCCCAACTCCCAGCTCGGGGGACCCGTCAGCTTCGAGTCCAGAGTGCTGACGCAGCTTCCCAGACCCGAGAAAGGGAGGGACCCGGACACATCTGCCAGCAGCTACTGTCCCCTGCTCCCAGGCCCCCAATGCTAGAGGGAACACTAACTGCGCTGCGCTCCAACGCGGCTGTCCCACTGCAAGGGCACTTACTCCCTACACGATGCTCTTCTCCGCGGGAGTGCCCCCGCCAGCGACCCCGCCGCGGTGACCAACGCGGGTCCAGACCTCTGGCGGGGAACAGGCACACGGCGCGCCCCGAAACGTCGGGGCGCTGCTAAGGACATCCTGGCCGGGACGGGGCGCCGGTCCCTAGCGAAATCGGTCGCGCCCCCCCTCCCGGAACTGCAGAGGAAGCGGGCCACGTGATGCCGCCGCTTCCGGAGTAGGCGGGGCCAGCGGCCGGCCCGGCCCGGTCCCCTCCCGGAGCGCAGTCCGCAGGCAGCGGCCGCAGCGCCGTCACCGCGGAGGCCGCCGGGGTGCGGGTGCGCGCCGGGGCCGAGTTACCCAAGCTGCGGCTCCCGCGGGCCTCGGGGGCTTCCGGGCGGCGGCCGCCCGGGTCACTTCCCTAAACTCGGCTCCACCCTCGGGCCCCATCCGGGGAAGCGAGCGGCCCCCGCGGGTCCCGGGCTCCGGGGCCGCCGCGCGCGCCCGGGCGCGGAGTGCGCACGCGCCGGCCGCCAGCACCCCGGCAGTCCGCTGGGGCCGCGAGCTGGGCCGCGTCCACCGGGCGCCCGCACCCCGCCGCCCCCGCCGGGCGTCCCGCATCCCCGCCACCTGCGCTCGCCACCAGCCGCCGGCCGAGGGCGGGTGACGAGGAGACAGGAACAGCCTGGGTGGGGCGCGCGCGCCTCGGACGCTCGCGCGCTTTTCCTCCGCCGCCCCCGGCCGCGCCGGGCCGGGCCGAGGAGCCGCGTGTGCCCGCGGCGCGCGCCCCCGGCTGGTTCCCCCGAGGGGCGGGCGCGCGCGGCCCGGACCCCTCCCCCACGGCCGGTGTCCGCGCGGGCGCACCAGCGGGGTGGGGGAGGGGAGCGGGCGTCCAGGGGGCGCGCGAGCGGCGTCCGCACCGGCCCTCGCCGCCGCCCGCGGGCGCGCACGCGCGGCCCGCCGCCGCCCGCCCCTCGGCACGAGACCCCCATCCCGCCCGGGGCGCTGGGGGAGGGGGCGCCGGCGTCGCCCTCCTCGGCCCTCCGCGGCCGCGCGCGCGGCGACAGGCTCGCAGCCGCCTCCCCTCGGACGCCGGGGCTCGGCGCTCACCATGTTTCCGGAAGCGAAAAGGAGACGGCGACGAGAGCTCGGGAAGACGCGGGCGCCGCAGCTGCTGCCGGGATCCGACTGAACGCGGCCTCTCCCGGCCCCTTCCGTTTAGTAGGAGCCGCACAATGAGGGGCGGGGCGGGCTTCCGGCGCTCCCCCCGCGGGCCGACGGGAAATGGAGTCCGAGGGGCCTGCGCCGCCCCCGGGCTCGCTGGGTAACAGTCTCTGCAGGCAGCCGCTCGCGCCGCGCCGCACTGCCGGCCGGAAGTCTCCGCCCAGGGGGCGGGCCGTGCCGCGGAGCGCTCGCCGATTGGCCCGAGTTTTCAGGAAACGCTCTGCGCTGAGCCGAGGCCCTGGCGCTTGGTAATCTGACCCGAAAATGAGCCCGGATTTCGCGGCTTTTTACCGCGCAGGGAAACGGTTTTCCCAAGGTCCAGCTTGACCCATTCTGGCTTCAGAAGCCTCAAGTGAGTCAGTCTTTTGCTCTTCTGAATCGACGCCACGATGGACCAGAAATGCAGTCCTTGACTAAGGGACTGGCACGTCTAAAGAATCTTGCACTGATCAATGAGCAACCCCCCATGCCACCTAAAAAAAAAGTGTCTGCAAATTCACTAAAGCGGAAAACATACAAAAGGGGAAACATTTCCAAGGAAATCTTCGAGAATAGAATTTCACCCTTGCTTTATAACATGTTTGGCAGGTTCACCAAGTAATAAAGGTAGAAGGGGCAGGGAGTCTTTGCATCCAACTCTTTCCCCCCCTTTTTTTTTCCTTAGAGGATTTTTAGTTAATCTCTTAAGGGGTTTAAGAAATGCCGCCACTATTACTAAAGAGAGACCGATAATAAGTCGCACTTAAATTTCGTTCTAGAGTTGTTAGCCAAGCATACGTTTAATTTGATAACCGAAAAAAAGCGAGACGCAAGATCTGAGAACATCCGGTTTATTAAAAAGAAAACAGAGTGGGGGGACTGCGGAGAGATCCCGGTGGCCTCGAACAATAACTGGCCTCCCTCTCCGCAAGAACTGAAGACAGGCTCGCGGAAGAAGGGAACAAGGGACCCCACACCACTAGCAGAATAATGGGTGCAACTGAAGATCTGGACGCCCGATCTTCAACCCCAGAGAATGACGCCCCAGAGCGGAGCGCCCGCGGAGCATGCCGGGACTTGTAGTCGGAGACACTCCGCGGCTCCCGGGTGCCTCCAGTGGAGGTCGGGCCGCGGCCTCCACCTGCCCACCTGGGACCGCCGCTCGGCCCCTTCCCCCCTCCTCCCGCACAGCCTGCGTCCCTGCCAGAAGAGGCCGGTTCCACCTTTTTTGCAAGCCTCGTAGTTTCCTAGAGCAACGAGAAGGGGGAGGGAGACCTCGCAGTTACCCTGGAGACGCGCTCCCGCCCGCCCCTAGCCGCGGGATGCCCTACATGTCCTTATTAGGACAAGAGACATGGGGGGGCGGGGCGAACCCGAACGCCGGCTGGAGGCTCCTTATAAGGCAGCGTCGGGCGGGAGTCGCGGGCTCCCGCCGCCTGGGGGTGCGGGACCGCGGCTGGGCGGAGTCTGGAGGGGCGGGCCCGGCGCCTCGAGCCCGCCTACCCCCCCACCCCTCGGCTCCTTGCAAAGGCCCCCCGACAGCCAGCCCCTCGCCGCTTCCGGCACGTCGCCCCCCCCCCGTGAGACCCTCATTCCCAGGTCCTCTGTACGGGTCTCTCAGCCGGGAATCCATTTGTATGATCGTCATCTCGAACCTCCCGAGGCTCCTCCAGCTCCAACGAGCCACAAACCCCTGGATTCTGAACATTCGGCCGCACCCCCACATCTGACCGCGTGCCCCCCTCCGTCCCCCGATCCAGCCCGCCAGGATGCCCGGCATCTGCTCCTTTGTCCCCCTCGCTCCCGACTCTGTCCTCGCGCCCCTGTCCTCCCAGCGCCGAGCTCCCCCCGCTGGTCCTCGACTCCGCGCTCCTGCCCGGCTTGGCAGCCGGCTCGGGAGCAACCGCTTCCTCCGAGGGGCCAGCAGCTCCTCCTGCGCTCCTCTCGTGCCCTGGCTGGCTGTCCCCCCCCCCGCCCCACGTCCCTAGCTGTCCCTCCTGCAAGCACCGGCCCCGATGTGTCCCCCAGCCCCACCTGCCGGGCTCTCCCTGCAGCCCAGAGGGGCGAGAGCGCGGGACACCCCCAGCCCCAGGTGGGTGAGCGGGCGCCGGCCCCGCCGGTCCTCCAGGGCAAGCGGGGGCGCTGTCGGCCCCGTCGCGGCGCCGAGGGGACCCGCTCTCGGAATCTGGCACGGGTCAAGGTTCGGGGTCCGGGAGGCGAGAGTCCGAGGCTGATCCGAAACGGGGGCGGGAGGGGCCGAGCGGGCCGCGGCGCTCCCGCCCGACACCTGCCGCGTCGAGGGAGGCTCCGCGCTACGAGAACCCCCTCCGCGGGGCCACGCGACCGGAAGTCCCGCCCCCGCCCCACCCGAACCGGGTGTTCGAATCCCGGGGCCGCCCCACGCCCCCGGGAGACGGCGCCACGGGTCCCGCCCCGCGGCTGATGGCGGCGCCGGTCCGCCTGGGCCGGAAGCGCCCGCTGCCGGTGTGCCCCAACCCGCTGTTCGTCCGCTGGCTGACCGAGTGGCGGGACGAGGCCGCCAGCAAGGGGCATCGCACGCGCTTCGTGTTTCAGAGGGTGGGTCCCGGGCCGCCCGAGGCGGGACTGGTGCCGGCGGGGGGTGCCCGGCCCGGCCCGGCCCGACGCGGTTCCGCCCTCCCTTCCTCCCCTCCCGCAGGCGCTGCGCTCCCTGCGGCGGTACCCGCTGCCCCTGCGCAGCGGCAAAGAGGCCAAGATCCTGCAGCACTTCGGAGACGGGCTCTGCCGCATGCTGGACCAGCGGCTGCAGCAGCACCGGGCGTCGGGCGGTGAGCGCGGGCGGGGACGGCCCCCAGGTGCGCCCCTCTGGCCCCCCGCGCCCGGGCCTCGCCTCCTCCGCGAGCACAGCGTGACCGCCCGGGCCTTCCGCAGGTGACCGGGCCTCCGCGTCACCATCCGGAGCCCCGAGCCCCACCGGGGAAGGGCCAGCTGCAGAGGCGGAAACGCAGGTACCGCGACTCCTGGGTGCCAGAGAGGAGGGGGTGCGCGGTGTGGGGCAGAAAGTTGGGGGGCGTGGGAGTCAGAGCTTCCGGCTCCCGGAACTAACGGCCCTGGCCCCGGCCTGGCCTCCAGGAGTGCCTGGCCTGGAGCAAATGGCCTGTTTCACCAGGGTCTTCGTTTCCGGTCTACGTTGGTTAAGGGGCCAGTTGGGCTGTTTGGGGGAGCCAAGCTTTGTAAGTTGTGGGGTCACTTTCCCGAGTGTTGCGCCCCTAGCGCCTCTGCCCTGCGCCCAGCACTCACGCAGGTGCCCCTGCTGTGTGCTGTCCCATCCTCTCGCCCCTCTTGACAGAGGGGGGTGCAGCGGGGTGGGACCCTCAGCCCCCTTCTCTTTCCAGACAATGAGCGAGGCCACAGCCGGAGGCCGCGGCAGCTACTGGCCAGCCCGGCACTCGAGGGCTCGGGCTCTGCTGCTCTTGCTCTTCCAGGAGCATCTGGTCAGTGCCTGGCCGGGGGTGGGGGTAGTTTGGGGAGTGGGGTGTCCCCCACTCAGACCTCACCCTGCCCTCTCCACCCAACGCCAGAACCCGGATGGCCACGGCTTCCTCACCAAGGAGGAGCTGCTGCAGAAGTGTGCCCAGACAGCGCCACGGGTGAGCAGTGGGTGGGGGGAAACTGTGGGGACCCCCGGGTGTGGGTTATGAGGTCCCTAAGGGTCTCTTGCTCCATGGGCAGGCGGCCCCTGGAAATGCCCGAGGCTGGCCCGCCCTCCGGACCCTGCTCAGCAGAAACCTCATTCTCAGGACCCACCAACCGGCCAGGTGGGCAGCGCACCCTGGTGGGCAGCGTGGAAGGAAAGCCTTCCTCCCCCCAAGCCTGGCTTCTGCACTGCTGGGTCTGAGAGCTCAAAGTGGGTTGCAATGAGGGGCAGTGCTGCTGAGGACCCAACTGGGGGTGCAGGCAGGGTGGCTTTGCCGAGGACGCTGCATGGAACGGGCTCAGAACTCCGGGACTGCAGGAGGCTTCTCCGGGGGCTGGCCTGTGTTGGAAGCCATTACCGCATCCCTGAAGTATCCCCCGGAGGTGCGTGTCTCCGTGGTGCCCACGGATGGCAGGCGTGGCCCTGCCTGCAGGCTTAGGAAAGGCAGCGGGGGCGAGTCCTTGAGGTGAAGCGGGCCTGTGTGTCTCCCTGCCGGCCAGGTACTCACTGACCCCGGAGGGCCTGGCGCTGGCCCAGAAGCTGGCCGCGGCGGAGGGCCAGGGCTCACTGGATGTGGGCCTGGGGTCCGGGGAAGCCCCCCGGGAGGACCCCCAAGACCCACGAGAGGCCTCGGCTGAATGGTGAGGCAGGGGCGAGCAGGGAGCAGGAGGGGCTGGGCTGAGGCCCCCCCCACCCCATCACCCACCCATAGCTGAGCTGGACCCTGCCACCCTCACCCCTGCAGCGGAGCCAGCGAAGGGAGTGGGCAGCCAGCCGCGCTGGAGCTGAAGCCTGGCGAGTACCGGGTGCTCCTGTGTGTGGACATCGGGGAGGCCAAAGGGTGAGTGAGGCGGGCGGGGGAGGCGGATGGAAGCCCCCGCGCCCCCCATGCCAGCCCGCCCTGACCTCGCCTGGCCACTGCAGTGCAGGGCACCGGGCCGAGCTGCTCCGGGAGCTGCAGCGGCTGCGCGTGGCGCACTCAGTGCGCAGACTCCACGTCGGGGACTTCGTGTGGGTGGCCCAGGAGACCCAGCCCCAGGACCCTGGTAAGGCTGGGGCCAGAGTGGCGGGAGCGGCGGGGCTCTGGGCACTGACGCCTGCTCACGGGATCCTCCCCGTCGGCCGGCAGCAAACCCCCGGGAGCTGGTCCTGGACCACGTGGTGGAGCGCAAGCGCACAGATGACCTATGTAGCAGCATCATCGACGGCCGCTTCCGGGAGCAGAAGGTACCGTGTCCGCCAGGAATCGGGGGCACTTCTGGGTGGCTGGGGACTCCAGCCAGTTGCCCCTACGCCAGACCCCTGGAAGATCCTGGGGGGGCGGGCAAGGTGCAGTGTCTGTGTGGGACCCCTGGAAGCCTGGCCCTGCGGTCTGGGTGACGAGGCCCGAATGGCCCATGCTGGCTGCGGACTGAGCCCAGTCAGGGAGTACACGCGGGCGCTCTGGGGGCTTGACAGGTGGCCCCCAGGGGACGGGGGGGGGGCACACACTCAACTTTCCCTCCCCCCCCCCCAGTTCCGGCTGAAGCGCTGCGGCCTGGGGCGTCGGGTGTACCTGGTGGAGGCCTTTGGCTCCATGCACAACCTCAGCCTTCCCGAGAGCACGCTGCTGCAGGCCATCACCAACACCCAGGTGAGGGCAGGCCCGTGGGGGCGGGGCGGGGCGGCCGGAGTCCCCTGCTTCCTGGCCCTGTCTGTCGCAGGTCATCGATGGCTTCTTCGTGAAGCGCACGGCGGACATCAAGGAGACCGCGGCCTATCTCGCCCTCCTGACCCGCGGCCTGCAGAGGCTGCATGAGGTGAGCCGGGCCCACGCGCAGCCCCCGGCCCCGCTGCCCCGCTGAACCTGAGGGTCTTCATCCTCTCCCCCCAGGGCCACACTCTCCGCAGCCGCCCCTGGGGCACCTCAGGGGACCCGGAACCCGGGGCCGGCCCCCCGCCAAACCCCCTCTGCTCCCTCCTCACCTTCAGTGACTTCAACGCTGGAGCCATGAAGAACAAGGTGGGGGCCGGGGAGAGGGGCCCAAGGGGTGGATGAGTGTCCCCGAGGCCCGGCCCACTCGGTCCCCAGGCAGGGCTGCATGTGGCTGGAATGGCCCCCCTGGGTGTCGGCAGATCCCGCCTGAGCCCTTGGGTCCTCACAGCCAGGCGCCAGGCGCCCTGAACTGGTGGGGGGCCTCCCAACCCCAGAACTCTTGCTCCCGCTCTGACACGGGTCACCCCTGTCCCCGCAGGCCCAGTCAGTGCGGGAGGTGTTCGCTCGGCAGCTGATGCAGATTCGGGGAGTGAGTGGGGAGAAGGCGGCCGCACTGGTGGATCGCTATAGCACCCCTGCCAGGTATGCCCGCCTCCTCAGGGCGCCACACTGGACCCAGGCTCGGTGGAGGGATCTGACTCTAGAGAGCCCCAGCCGAACCCCAGGGGCTCATGGAGACAGGCGGTGAGGACAGAGATAGCTGGGGACCCGATGTCCTGGTACAGCAGAAAATGCTTCCTGGGAAAGGCCTCTGGACCAGTGGTCAGATGGGGAGTGTGAGAGAGGACAGCGGGTCGGGCACTTGTCTTAGCCATGGCATACCCGGGTTCAGTCCCCAGCACCCCACCAGGTGTGATCCCTGTGCCAAAGTCGGGAGTCAGCCCTGAGCACCACCAGGGGTGGCCCCAAAACAAAAAAGAATGGCCACACGGGATCAGAACAATAGTACAGCGGGGAAGGTGTTTGCTTTGCACACAGCCGACTGGGGTTCAATCCCCAGCATCCTGTAAGGTCCCGTAAGCACTGCCAGGAGTAATTCCTGAGTGCAGAGCCAGGAGTGACCCCTGAGTATCCCTGGGCGTGACCCAAAAAACTGAAAAGTAAATAGCCAAGCAGAGTGAGCCCCGCAGTGCACTAGTTAAGCCTCAGAAACTCAGCGTGCCTCCCACACCGCAGCCTCCTGGCCGCCTACGACGCCTGCGCCACCCCCAAGGAACAGGAGATGTTACTGAGCACCATCAAGTGTGGCCGGCTGCAGAGGTGAGCGACCGCCGGACCCCAGAGGGACAGGGGCTGCCCAGCCGGGCCCCCTCTCACCAGCCTCTCCTCTGCAGGAACCTGGGCCCTGTGCTCAGCAGGACCTTGGCACAGCTGTACTGCAGCACAGGTGCCCTGACCTGAGCCGAGCCATGCGGCACCCCTGCCCCGCCACCCCAACCCAGCCGGCCTCTCCCTTCAGCTCCCGCGGGCCTGCTGTGTTACAGAGGAACCCCAGTATCCAGGCCTGGGGGGGCCCTGCAGCTTGGAAGCTACTTTGGGTTCTGAGGGTTCTCGGTCATGTCAAGGCTGCGTTGCCCCACAGCGGTCTGGTGCTGGCAAGAGAGAGAGTGGAATGCAGTAACGAGTGTGCGTGTTTCACTGCATGGATTGGGAGACGGGGCTCCGGAAGCAGTGGGGCTGTGCCCAGATGGATGGTGGGAGGGGTGGGGGTAGGGGCTGCACTGCACCCCTGCACACTAACCTGCCCGTTTTGGAGCAGGCTCTGGAGCTGCCCCTCTCCTCCCCTGGGGACTCAGACCAGTCCCAGCCGCGGGGCACAGGAGGCAGGTCCTGGGCAGAGACGCCCCCTTTACGCCACCAGCACCCACCCCCGCCACCCCAACACGGGGCTCACTGCAGCAGTACCCAGCCACCTCGACCACCGGAGCGCCGTCTTTCTCCCTTTATTGCCTCTCTCACCGCCCCCGCACACCTTACACAGAACACATCACCCCTCCCTGAGCCCCAGCGCCAGGGACGCCCCTTCCCTCCTCAGAAGGCATAGGCCCCCACGAAGACGGTGAGTCTCAGGACAGAACTGGCCCGGTAGCTCATGAGGGAGTTCATGGTGACCATCTCGAGGTCCAGCACGTACTCCCGGGGGCCCGTCACGGGCCGGGCGAGGACCAGCATGGCACTGACGTTGTTGATTTGCTGCAGGGTGGGGGACATGCCGATGGTGTCAGCCTGGGCACAGGCCCCTCCCCTATTGCCTCCATGCCTGTGTCTCTAAGCCCCAGCTGGCTATGGGGGCAGAGACCACCCAGCTGGATACACTGGCCCCAGGAGTCTCCCGTGCTGCTTGCTTCCATCTAAGCAGGGCTAGTGATGCAGGCTGGGGTGCGGCCTCTAGGATCTGGAGAAGCCCGCACCCCCACAGCGCACCCCATTTCAGCAAGGGGAAAAATCATTCTGGTAGCAGACAACCCTTACTGATAGCCAGAACCGCCGGGTCCTGAACCGCTGGGTCCCGACAGCTCCACTGAGGGGAACGGGAGTCCCCCATGCCTTCCCCTTCTTATCCCGGCCAAGGGGCCAAGGTCCAATACAGGGCCTGGAACCCGGTGTCCAAGTGTGTCACCGGAACTGCATGTAACGGGTCAGGACAAGTGCTTGCTGGGGAGGACAGGTCTGGCAAACCGCTGGCAAGTCACCCTCTGTCCCTGCTGATTCACCCCTACCTCCCTCTTGCAGCAGGGCCGCCACCAGGGGGCGCTCAGGGGAGGGCGCCGCTAGTTTGGAGCCGGATTCCCCTTAAGGCCGCCTGCGGTAGGGGCGGGGGTGCCGTACCCGAATATAGAAGTCCTCCTGCGAGTTCCCGGCACGGATCTGGAAGGCGTTGTAGGCGCCGGGGTAGACGGAGGTGGCCTGGATCTGGAACACGTCGGCAGGCACGCTCCTCTCCGAGGTGATGCTCATGTAACGGTGCACGATGGACGACGGCTGCTCCCGGCACAGGGGGTTGGAGGCCGGACAGAGGCAGCGGCTAGAGGCCCGCGTGGGAATATGCATGAGGGCCCGGCCCAGCCCTTGAACTTGGCCCATCTCCCCCAAATTCGCGGTCCTCGCCGGATCGTCCCGCTTGTGCGAGACACGAGCACCCGTGGTTAGGACTACAGTTCCCATCAGCCCTCGGGGCACTCTCTCGCCAAGGAGGTGCCGCCCCGCTGCAAGGCCCTCTGGGAGTTGTAGTTTCTAGGGTTGCCTGCCATGGTGTTGACTCACTTGTCGGACACCTGGACATAGGGCTCCACGCAGCGATTAGTGTCCACGCAGCGGTAGCCCCCATGGAAGTTGACGCAGGTTTGGGCCTCAGAGCACTCATGCACACCCGACTCGCACTCGTCAATGTCTGCACCAGGGGAGAGGGGCTGGAACCCGGCGGTCAGGCTACCAGCCCCTCACGTCACTGCCCGCTCCACCTGGGCAACCTGTACCTTGACACAGGCGCGTGGCCAGCAGCTGGTAGCCCTCCGGGCACTGGCAGGAGAAGCGGCCTGGCTCGTTGACGCAGCGGTACTGGCAGAGGTAGCTGGAGTAGCTGCACTCGTCGATGTCTGCGGGAAGGTGGGCGTCAGGACATCGCGCAGGGCAAGGCCTGAGACACACCTGCCTTGGCTGAGGGCGCGCCCCCTGGCGGACTGTGAGAACTGGGGGTACGAGACCTGCCCCCCAGCCCCCGAAAGCATATTTGGCTACAGTGCTTTGAAAGAAGGCCCACCCAGGCCACAAACCACTGTCTCGGACAGAGCATTTTATTTATTTATTTATTTTTGCTTTTTGGGTCACACCCGGCCATGGACAGGGGTTCCTCCTTGCTCTGCACTCAGGAATTATTCCTTGGCGGTGCTTGGGGGACCATATGGGATGCCGGGGATCGAACCCAGGTTGGCCGCATGCAAGGCAAAACGCCCTGCCTGCTGTGCTCTGGCCCAGACAGAGCATTTTAAATGAAGCATTTTAAAACCTTGGGGGCCACAGCGATGGAACAGTGGGGAGGGCGCTTCCCTCGGAGGTGGCCAACCTGGATTGGATCCCCAGCATCCCATATGGTCTCCCTGGAGCAGCGCCAGGGGTAATTCCTGAGTGCAAAGCCAGGAGTAACCCTTGAGCATTGATGAGTGTGACCCAAAAAGCCAAAAAATAAACATTTAAAAACCCTGGGGCTGGAGCGATAGCACAGCGGGTAGGGCGTTTGCCTTGCACGCAGCCAACATGGCCAATACAGGTTCGATTCCCAGCATCCCATATGTCCCCCGAGCACCGCCAGGAGTGATTCCTGAGTGCATGAGCCAGGAGTAACCCCTGAGCATCGCCAGGTGTGACCCAAAAAGCAAAAAAAAAAAAAACCCTATTGAGTTCGGGCACCTTCGTTTTCCCAGTCCGTGAAAGGAGAGGGTGTGCCAGGGAGTTAGTACAGTGGGTAAGGTTCCTGCTTTGCACGCAGCTGACCCAGGTTCATTCCCTGGCACAGCATGGGGGAGGATCACTCCCTAAGCCTTGCCAGGAGTGATCCTTAAGCACAGAGCCAGGAGTCAGCCGTAAGCTAGTGTGAACCAAGACTTATACCCACATCCCCCCAAAGCAGGAGTGGGACAGCCCAGAAGAGCCCAGAACATCCTCCCTACTTTCAATAGCTTGCCCAGTCCCTGCTAATCGCCTTCAGCCAAGCGCCAGACAGGCCTCACCCAGGTTCCCCTCCTGCGGCCTCACTCAGTGCCAGGGCCACAGAGCAGGACCTGGCAGGTAACACTGCCAGCCAAGGGGCAAGAAGGCAGGGTGGAGACAGCTCAGCAGCGCCTGGCACCGCCCTGGCCACGCCACTCACACAGGTCAATTAACTTCTCCACTGAATCATCGGCTACGCGGGACTTATTAGCGTTTTGTAATTCCGCCTGACAAACCTTGAGGGAGATATCAGTGTCCTCATTTTGCAGAGGAAGGAGAAAATCCTACTCACCTCATAGGTTGGTTGGCAGGATTAAATGAGGCCAAGGAGGTGAGGGAAGGTTCTGGAGAAGGGGCAGTTCAAAGCACTTCAAAGTGCCACTGCGCAGGACCGTTCGTCTCCGCTGTCCTGTGCCACTCACCCCTCCAGGCCACCCACTTTACAAAAGCGACGGGTTCACAGTCCAGCTGGGCCAGACTCCCTGGGGAGGGGAACCCACATCCTTGCTCAGCCTCTGCTCCCCCTGGGGGTTGGTGGCACTGGGGGACACGGGAGATGTGTGGGTACAGAAGTCAGCGGGGGAGGAGGGCGGCTGGGGGGTCTCACCGCTGCAGGAGAAGCCGTCCCGGTGGAGCTCGTAGCCCTGGTGGCAGCGACACAGAAAGGTCCCGTAGGAGTTGAAGCAGCGCTGCTCGCACGGGGCCCCCATGTCACACTCGTTCACATCTGAGGATGTGGGAGGAGGGGACACAGGGGCGGGTGAAAGCCGAAGAGCAGCTCTGAGTCCCCCCCTTCACTGGGGCTGGTCATTAAGGGGGCTGCCTGCCCCCCGGGCTGGGCCCAGCCTCACCCACACAGGAGCGATTGTTGGGCCCCAGCTGGAAGCCCGGCTCACACTGGCAGCGGAAGGAGCCGGGCAGGTTGACGCAGCGGTGCTGGCAGTAGCGGTAGCGACACTCATCTATGTCTGGGAGGGGACACACGGGGGCAGGGATCAGGGGGCGCTCGGGTGACGGCAGACCTGGGCTCCCCGGTGGTGGTCTTGGCTGGGTCTGGGTGGCGGGAGCCGCAGTCGGAGGGCGGGGGAGGGCGCTGTTCGGAGAGTCAGACGCCAGGGCGCGGCCGGACTCACCCACACACTCGGGTCCAATCTTGCGGTAGCCGGAGGGGCAGGTGCACTGGTAGGAGCCGGGCAGATTGTGGCACTCCTGGCTGGGGCGGCAGTCATGCAGAGCGTGGGCACACTCGTCCACGTCTGCGGGAGACAGCATTCAGCCGCTGCGCCCCCACCGCAGCGCCCCGAACGGGAGTCCGGGCAGCTCCCCCCTCAGCACGCCCCTCCAAACAGGAGCCCGGGGCAACTCCCCCAAAACGCAGCGCCCCCAAAGAGGAGACCGGGGCAGCTCCTTCCCCCAAAGTGCAATCAAGCTGCCGGCCAGGCAAACAGGAACAGGGTTCTGCGCAGACCCCCCCAAACTCTTCCCAGAGGGTCCCCTCTACCCGCCAAGGTCTATCAGGCAAAAGCCCAGGGGGCTGCAGGCCACGCCAGGTCAGCAAGGACCCCGCTGCACGGACCCTGGGGTCATGTGTTTAGAGCGCAGGCATGAAGGGGGGAGGGGACTGAGTGGGGGTCCCCCCACCCCCAGCAGCAGTTCTCAGGGCGGGATCTCGACGGGAAGGGGGCCCGAATAAGGAGGAGCTCTGGCACCGGCCACTGAGTGGCCCCACACAAAGGAAGGCTCTGGATGCAGTTCTGCCCCCGCGACCCCGAGGACACTGCAGAGCTAGGACGGAGCGTGAGGTCCATCCGAGCGCTCAAGCTCGGTGGGTGCCAGGGCCACCCACTCACCCACACAGCTGCCCTGCTCATCTGGCTCGTAGCCCGGCGGGCAGGGGGTCGGGTGGCGGGCGGGAGGCACTGGCGGCGGCGGCCCCTCGTGCAGGTCGTTGATGACGGCGGCCGAGCGCGGCAGGCACAGGTAGCCGCCGTAGTGGTTGATGCACTTCATTTCACCCTTGCAGGCCTCGGGGATGGTCAGGCACTCGTTCACGTCTGCGGGAAGAACCTGCTGGGCACGGCTGCGCGGGTCCAGGGGCCTGCGCCCAGCGGGGTCTGCAGGGCTGCTGCAACAGTGCCCTTATTCTCCTGCCTGCAGAAGCGTCTCTCCCTCCCCGAAAGCCCCAGCGTGGCCCGTCTGACGGGGGCCTTGCACACCGGCAGCCACTGCCCCTGGTGCTGAGGGGCAGGGCCGGCTGGAGAGCGCCGGGCGGTGGCCGGTGCCCAGCTCTGGGGCAGTGCCCTCTGCTCTCCCGCTAATGGGGTGGGGGCAGGGCTCCCTGGTTCTCCGAGCAGGAAGGGCCTGGGCCAGTCTCCAGCGCGGAGCCGGCCCCCAGCACAGGCGCTGGCAGAGGACGGGCCACTGGGCTCGGGCGTCCACTCCCCCAGGCCGGGCGGCAGATCCCTCCCCAGTTCCCGGAGGGGGGTCAGCCCCCCACACAACACACTCACCCCGGCAGTGCTGGCTGTCGGCGTCCCACTCGTAGCCGTCTGTGCATTCCTGCAAGGGGACCAGAGGGGGCCAGTGGTCGCCCCTGCGCCCCTCCGACGACCAGGCTTATGCCAACCAGGGCCTGAGCGCGGCCACCCTTCCGGCCGGCTCCAAACAATGCCCCCCTTCACCCACCGGGAGGAGCCTCCGCCCCCCAGCATCTGCTACCCCTCCGGTGGCCGTGTCCCGGCCCAGACCAGGTCCCCACTGTCCCCACCGTGTAGCTGTCCGGCTCCTCGGCGTCCTGGGGAGACGCGGCCCCCAAGAGCAGCAGCAGCAGCAGCGCCCAGAGCAGCAGCGCCCCGGGCTGGCAGGAAGCGCAGGGCAGCATCCTGGGGCAGGGAGGGGGCGCGGGGGTCAGCGTCTCCGCCGCCCGTCCAGCCTCCCGCGCAGGTCCGGGGTCGCGGAGCCGCCCCCCACCAGAGGCCCCACTCCTCCCGCCGGCCAGGGGTTCCAGCCCGGCCGCCCCGCCCCCGCCCGGTCCCCCCGGGCCTCCGGGCCCCGGGCTGCGGCCGACTGGGCCGCGGCTGGCGCCCTCGCCCCCGCGGCCGGCCGCTCGGTCACTCACTCGGGTCCGCGACGTCCCGCGGCCCGGGCTCGGCGGCTCGGCGGCTCGGCAGCGCCTGCGGGCGGACGGACCGGCGGACGGACGGGCGGACGGACGGGCGGACGGGCGGACGCGCAGCTCCCTGGACGCGCGGCCCCAGGAAGCGCCCCCCGCCCGCCGCCCGCCGCGCGGCCCACCCCGGCGCCTCCGCCCGCCCCTCGGCGGATTCCTGAGCCCGCGCCAGGGGGAGGGACCCCGACCCCCCGCTTCTCCGCCCCCGGCTGGCCGCAGGCCCCCACCCGGTCCCCCGCGGCGCCGCCGGGCGCGCCTCCCGCCCTGGACACTGCCCCTGGCGCCCGGCGCCCGGCGGCCGTCGCTGAGCCCCGCCGAGTGTCAGCCCGCGCACCTGGACCCTCCCCGCGCGCCCACCTCGGGGTCCCGGGCCCGCGAGCCTCCTGCGTCCCCCTCTGCCTCGGGTCCCCGGTCCGCACGGGAAGCCCTCCAGCGTTCGATGCCGTGCTCCCGGGTGGTCAGTCGCTCGGGCGAGACCAGAACTTTCCCCTCTGTCCCCCCTCCTCCCCTTCCCCATCCGTCCCCCCTCCTCCCCTCCATCCGCGGGGCGCCCCGGCCAGGTGTCGCCTCCCTCGCGCCCTGCATCCTCCCGGCTGCGTGAAGGGGCGGGCTGCAGCCCCTTTGGGCCCATAATGAATGGAAGCCCCTGGAAGAGCAGGCAGGACTGAGCCCGGGTGTGCAAGGGCCGGGAGCAGCGGCCGGAGGGGTCCCCTCGGACCCCGGCCCCGCTCAGGGCGCACCCGGGTGGGGGGCGGGGCGGGGCCGGGCCCGGCTCCCAGGAAGGGGCGGGGCCAGACGGGAAGGGGCCGCGTGTCCTGGGATCCCGGGGGGACCCTCCCTGCCCTTCCCACTTGGATCCCGCGTCTCCTCGGGCTCACCCACGCACGTCTGGGCAGTGGCTGTGTGTGTGTGAGGGGAGGATGGTGTAGGTGTGTGGGTGTGGGTGTATGGGTGTGTGTGTGTGTTTGGGGAGTCCGGAGGTGAGCTCCGAGGTGCCAGGGAGGATTGGGGAGCTCCTCCCCACACCCAGATTCTTCCCAGCCCCGTGGGAGAGGAGGCTAAAAATAAGAGCCCTCTAAAAAGCCAAGGGCAGTAATAAGTGTCGCGCTGTGGGGAAATTGGACGGCGCACACGCTGTTGGCAGGCGTGTTAGCTGGTGCCGCCACTTTGGACAAGTCTGGCAGGGCCTCAAAATGATCACACTTCCCAGCACTTCACCCTGAGAACTGAAAATGTATGTGTGTAGGGGTGTGTGTGTGTGTGTGTGTGTGTGTGTGTGTGTGTGTGTGTAGGGGGCACTCTTCATAAAGTTCACTGCATCTCTCTTCTGAAGAACCAGTGTAGCCAGAGTCAACGTCCGTTCACTGATGCATAGATGGACTCACTGTGAGGCCGTGATAGGATGATAGGATCCAGCCCTGCAGAAGTTCCGCTGTGGATGCTACCAAAGGGATCAATGTTGACAGTGCTCCACTCAGCCAAGGTGGCAAACTGGCCATTCATTTAAAAACTACAAAAGTAAGGGTGCCAGAGAGATAGGGCATTTGCTTTGCATGCAGCCAACCTCGGTTCAATTCCCAGCATCCCATATGGTCCCCCGAGCCTGCCAGAAGTGACCCCTGAGTATAGAGCCAGGAGTACTGATCCTGAACTGATGTGCCCCCAACCCCCCCCCCCAAAAAAATACTACAAAAATAATTTAGGGCCAGAGCGATAGTACAGAGGATAGGGGCCTTGCCTTGTATGTAGCCAACACGGTTTCTGTTCCATTTACAGACACATTAAGTCTAGATGAATCTTTTGTTTTTGTTTTTTTGTTTGGGGGGCCACACCTGACAATTCTCAGGGGTTACTCCTGGCTCCGCAGTCAAGCATTACTCCCAGAGTGCTCGGGGAACCATAAGAGATGCTGAGGATCAAACCCAGGTTGGCAATGTACAAGGCAAGTGCCCTACCCATTGTACTATCTCTCCAACCCCAATCTAGATGTATATTTGGAGACAAAAAAAAAACCCAACCCCAGCAGAGATGGAGAAAGCCCAAATGAGTGACCAATTATAGGTATGAGATTTAATAGGGTGCAGAGATGCTCAAATTTATGGAGATGGTGCAGGTTATGCAAATTTTCTTAATCACTTAATCCCTGTTATTCATCCTTTACTCAAGCGGATGTCAGTAAGTCTCCATTCATCCCGGTTGCGTGCTAGCGTAGCCCAATGGCATCTGTTCGTTCTAGGAACATGCGGAGCCTCAAACCGATCATTCAGGGTCTTGACGAAGAAGTCTGACCATCTTGTAGGTGGGCGTCCATGCGATCTTTTGATGTCCCATGGAATCCAATCAGTAATGGCTCTAGTCCAGCGGTTGTCTGTAAACTTCATTACGTGTCCAGCCCATCTGATTTTTGATGTCTTGGCAAATGAGACAGCGTCCCTGATTCTTGAGCGTTGATGAAGATCAGAACTCCAGATTCTATCTCTCATTTGAGTGAATCGTGATATTCCCAGCATAACTCTTTTGATTCCTCTTTGAGAGACCCGAATAGCGTTCTCATCCTGTTTTCGTAGGGCCCAGGTCTCTGAGGCATATGTTAATGCAGGAAGAACAGTGGAATCAAAGAGATGTGCTCGTAGCTGGAGGTTCTTTGTCCTCTTAGTTATTTCTTCAACACTCTTGAAGGCATTCCAAGCCGCTCTCTTCCTCCTGCACAACTCAGGTGCCAGGTCATTCATCATGTTGATTTCTCGACCTAGGTATATATAACTGTTGCATTTGGAGATGGTGGTTCCGTTGAGAAATTTTCTTATAAGTCCCTAATTTGGACAGACATGTGCCTCCATGGTAGAGCACCTGCCTTGCATGTGTGAAGTCCATCCTGGGTTCAATCCCTGGACATCTGTGACTTCAAACAAAAATGCTTGGAATTGCACACTCTTTTTTTTTTTCTTTTTTGGGTCACACCCAGCGATGCTCAGGGATTGCTCCTGGCTCTGCACTCAGGAATTACTCCCGGTGGTGCTTGAAGGACCACAAGGGGTGCTGGGGATCGAACCTGGGTCGGCCACGTGCAAGGCAAATGCCCTACCTGCTGTGCTATTGCTCTGGCCGCAAGAAATTGTACACTTTGCCTTCTCCCTTAGCGGTTGTTGCTACCAGGAGGCATCGCATACTTGGTTGGGGCATCCCAGAGATTACATATTTGTGGCACTGGGGATTTTAATAGGCAGAGCTGCCAGGATTGTGCTTGGCAGGTGGGGATGGCACCAAGGCCTCCCTGAACCTCAGGCCTAAACAGGCTCTTTGTCAACTGAGCTCTCCCTAGGGGCCTCTGAATCGGACACTTCAAAAAGGGTGGAATTTAGAGACGTTACTGGGTCCGCTCGAGCAAATCGATGAACAACGGGAGGACAGTGACTGTGACAGTTCACTAGGTTGAGCACTCACTTTGCATACAGGAGGCCTGGGTTCAGTCCCAGGGACTGCGTGGCCCCCCTGAGCACTTGCAAGGAGCAGCCTCTGAGTTCAGAACAGTAGCCCCTGAGCACTTGTGAGTGTGGCAAAAATTAATTGATTAAGACCTCTGGGGCAGGGCAGAGAGATAGTAGAGCCGGTAAGCATTTGCCTTGCACACAGCTGACCCGGGCTCAATCCTTGGCACCCCAGATGGTCCCTCAACTACTGCCAGGAGTAATTCCTGAGTGCAGAGCCAGGAATAACCTCTGAGCATCGCTGGATGTGGCCTCAAAATCAAAAAACAAAACTCTGAGGGGTTAAGACCTGGGATACAGCTGATCTGAGTTCATTCTCCAGCACTATTTGGTCCCCAGAACACTGCCAGGAACAATCCCCCCTGAGCACTGAGATAGGAGTGGCTGCCGAGCACTGTTGGGTGTAACCCAGATAACCCTTCCCAGTTTCCTGGTGTACAGGAGCTCTTATTCAAGGAAAGAGAAGGGCCTGAAAGAAGGTCCAGGGGCTTCAAGCACCTTCCTTGCAAGCACAAGGCCTTGAGTTCATACCCTCACTGCTGCCCAGGTGCTACCGGGTGATCCTGAGTGCTCTGCTGAGTGGATCCCGGGAGGCCAAAGGCCAGGATGGTGGCTCCTTGACTCAGAGAGGCCGGAGAGATAGCAGGGCAGGCCAGGTGTTTGTCTTGCATGCATTTACCTTAGACACACCCGTACGAGTCCCTGAGTCCGCCAGGAGTGATCCCTGTGTGCAGAGCTGGGAGTAAGTCCTGACCGAGCACCAGGTGTGGCCCCAAACGAAACACAGAACTCCAGGACCTTGGAGATATGGTGCCTCCAGCAGGTCAGTTTGTACCTGTGAGGCGAGTGCATCAGCAGCCTGATGGCACCGTCAGGCTTTCAGATACCCCAAAATTGCTGCTGTGCCTTTGGCCAGACCCCAAAAACTTGGGGTAAAGTTTACCAAGAAAGTAAACAACCAACAGTTAGGTATGCGGGAGACACACCCACAAACCACCTCTGGCTCAGCTATATAATTGGAGGCATGGCCTCTCTGGTTCCTGATTGAACTGTTTAATGGCCATGAGCCCAGAGACTCTGAAACGACCCTCAGAACCCAAAGGCTTTTGGCAGAAATGTGTCCTGTTCCTGCAGTAGGTTACTGGCGCTGAGCTACTCCAGGTGGGAATAGATTTCGTGCCTTGGCCTGTTCCCCTTGGCGGCCCGGTGACCACCATCCTCCAGAGGCCACTGGACAGTCAGGTTTGGGCCTGCAGTGACGAGACACGTGGGGCCTCACCAGATGGGGGTGGAACCAGCCCTTTCTTCCCCCTACCAGCAAGCCCCCGAGTCGCCGCCTACAAATGGCCTCTCTGGCTCCTGATCAAGCTAATTAATGGCCATGATCCCAGAGACTCAGAATCTCAAAGTCCAGCGGCTTTTGGCAGAAATGCATCTGCATACAAGGTGGCCGCCACCTCAGAGCTTCTTGGAAAGTCAGGTATGAGCCAGCGGTGACTGGGCAACTGCAGTCTTATGGGAAGGGGGGCAGTACCGGCTCGCCCTTCACGCCCTACTGAGGTCATGAGTTGCCCGCCACAAGCGGCTCTCCGGAATGGCCATGGATCCAGAGCCAAAAGGACTTAATCCAGAGTCCTACAGCTTGTGGCAGAAAAGTGAATGGACCATTCGTTAAACTATGGCTCCATGCCTCCCCGGGAGGGAAAGGCTGTTACTCCCTTCTGCCTTTCCTCCCCACCCCCAGCAGCAAGGTGGCCACTGCCTCAGAGCTTATAAGAAAGCCAGGTGTGAGCCTGCGTTGATGGGCAACTGCAGTCTCGTGGGAAGGGGGGCGGTACCGGCTCATTCTTCGCGTCCTACCGAGGTCATGAGTTACCCCCACGAGTGGTTCTCTGGCACAGCCATAACACCGGATGCACAGAAACCAATCTCATAATTATCTGGCTCTTTGCAGAAATCCAAAATCGCGAGGCCACTATTGCAGCCAAGCGAGATTATATGATTCTCATAACCAGCTATAGAAAACAAAGTACTTCACAATACCTTTTTAGCAATTCTGATTGTTGGGGGGGGTAAATCCTAAACAAGAATGGTGCATCTTTTGTCAAAATAATGAATATAATCAATGTAGAGAAGAGTTAAGTGGAAATCATCTGCCTCATAGGCATTGGGAGGGGTGGGAGGGGGGTATGTTGGGGTTCTTGGTGGGGAAAAATGAGTACTGGTGAAGGGAGAGGTGTTTGATCATTGTGTGACCGAGATTTAAACCTGAAAGCTTAGTAACTTCCCACAGTGATTCAATAAATAAATATAAGAAGAAAAAATAATAGATAAATAAAATTATGAAAAAAAATAAGATGGAGTTTATGCCCAATTTAATTAGCTAGTCAGTGGCTGAATAAATAGCAGTACTCCTACATTAAAAAACAAACAAAAAAAAACTTCAGGACCTCCCTTTTGCCAGCCCTCAGGGCACCAGGGCCTTCTCTAGACCACACGCAGCCCAGGCCCAGCTCGGTGTGCAGAACCAGGACCCAGCAGCTTGGAGCAGGGGGAAAAGGCAATGCTGCGCTTGTCCCCAAACCCAGGGACCCTGCTTGCTGTCCAGAAGGCCACGGGCACTGGGGAAGGTTCCCAGTAAGAGAAGACAAAGTAGCAGCACCCTGGAATCAGCCCGTCCCACAGAAACCCCCAACATAAACGGTTTCTTCTCCTCCAACTCTGACCTGAGCCTGTAGACAGAGCCCCAGTCCAGACGCCCGCCCCGGCCCTCGGCTTGCAGATGGCCATCTGTGCACCTCCTTCCTGTCCCTCAGGGCTGCACTTTTCTGTCTCAACCCCATGATTACCCACCCACTGGGTCCCAGAGGCCTATACCTCTGGGGGCGCTGGACAGACGTCAGCAGGAACTGCATGGCTGTGGAGTACATTAAAGATGGGGGGCAGAGAGGGATCCCAGGACAGTCTTTTTTTTTTCTTTTTGGGTCATACCTGGCGATGCACAGGGGTTCCTCCTGGCTCTGCACTCAGGAATGACTCCTGGTGGTGCTCGGGGGACCATATGGGATGCTGGGAATCGAACCCGGGTCAGCCGCGTGCAAGGCAAATGCCCTACCTGCAGTGCTATCGCTCCAGCCCACGAGGACAGACTTGACCTTCTCCCACCTGAGCCCCCCCTCCTGTCACTTCCTGCCACCCACTTCCCCCAGTGGCCATTTGGCGACACCTCCGACAGTTCCATTTCTTTGTTCTCATTTCTTTTGTCTTGGGGTCACACACCAAAGGTGGTCAGGGCCAATGCCTGGCTCTGTGTTTCGGAATCATTCCTGATGGTGCTCAGGGGACCTAAATGGAGTGCTGGGGATCGAACCGGGGTCAGCCGTGTGCAAGGCAAGTGCCCTAAGTGCTGTACCATCTTTACGTACCCCCCTTTTTTCCCCTAAACTACCTCCAGCCATACTCAGTGCTTACTCCTGGCTCTGCACTCAGGGATAACAAAAAGCAGGCTTGGGGGGACATAGGGAGTACAGGGGATCGAATCCGGGTCAGCTAGTTGCACGGCAAATGCCCTTCCTGCTGTACTATTGCTCTGGCCCCTTATTTAATTTTGACTTTTTGGGTCACATCCGGTGATGCTCGGGGTTACTCCTGGCATTGTTTGGGGGACCATGTGATATGCTGGGGATCGAACCTGGGTCAGCCACATGCAAGGCAAATGCCCTCCCCGCTGTACTACCACTCTGGGCCCCAGTCCCTCATGTCCTTACCCTTAGATTGCCCAGACTGGGTGGAAACCAGCAGGCGGAGGAGTGAACTGGGTGCTGAGGGGTCCGCCCCCACTGTCACCCCGTTTCCACCTGTGGTTTCTCCAGCTCCGCCCCCGGAGAAGCTTAGTCTTCCTGCTCCTGCCACTGATGCTTCATTTCAGCGACAGCACCATGGAGTTCACAGGACCCCGCGCTTGCCTCATGGCTCTGTGGCTGGTGGGCCTGGGCCCCCGCATCCACAGCTCCGTCCAGGGCCAGGTAAGCACCTTCTGTCAGTGGGGGGTGGGTGGCCGATCACTGCCTCTGAGGGTGGGCAGGGGAGCAGATGCCCAGCCCAAGGTTGGCGGCTCTCCCGAAGTCTTGATGGCTGGCGGGGGTCCCAGAGGGGTCCCAGAAAGGAGCGCTCACCTGCTCCTCCCGTGCAGGACCCTGGCGAGCGGCCGCTGGAGCTAAAGGAGGTCTTCGCACTGTTTCAGGCACAGTATAACCGGAGTTATCCCAGTGCTGCAGGTACCGCCCCAAACCCACCATCCCAGGGATGAGGGAGTCACTGGCAGAGCTGGGGGCACTCTGGGCTTCTGCCTGCTTGGATGGGGGTGCAGCGTTCTGCTGTACCCCAGATACCATCGCCCTGTGGGCCCCCCGAGTCTGGGACTCCCTTGCTACCCTGAGTTTCCAGGCACAGCTCTGGGGTCGGCCTGTAAGCCCAGGCAGGCTGCTGCAGCACCTGGAACCTACACCCCACCCCTCAGCCCCCCACTTTCGCTCGGCACTGTGATCAGACGTGTGATGCAACACGGGTGTAGGTGCAAGCAGGAAGTGGCCAGTGACCGTCACTTTCCCTTCTAAGTCACTGCTTGGGGCAGAATCTCACCAGCTTTCAAGGGACCAGGCACCCACTTCCAGCCCCCCAGGAAAGTCTGACGCTGGGGTGTTAGCCAGCCGTTTCCTGGCTGGGGGCCGATGGGGGAGGTCTGCAGGGACCATGAGGGTGGGATGTGTCTTGGCCAGGGACCACCTCCTGCTGCCGGTGACTCACAGGGCAGCCAAGGACACCCCCTTTTCCTCCAGAGCACGCTCGCCGGCTGGCCATCTTCGCCCGCAACCTGGAGCGAGCCCAGGAGCTGCAGGAGAAAGCCCTGGGCACGGCCGAATTTGGGGTGACGCCCTTCAGCGACCTCACAGGTGGCGGGACTACCCCAGGCCCCAGTGGGGGGTTGGCAAGGTGGCACCTTCTTGGGCACAGGCTGGACAGAGCCGGCCTTTGTTCCACAGCTCTTGAGGTACAGGGGCTCCCCCAAATCACTAGAGACCCGTGTTCCCATGAGCTTTGGGAAGTCACTGGAGAGGGGTGTACCCCCCTGACACACACAGCTTGGTTCCTGTCCAGGCTGAGCCCTCGTCTCTCCGGGTACGATGTGGGCATGGCCAGTGAGGATGTACGCGGCTGGTGGGATGAGGTCGCCTGACCCGGGGTCTTTGTCCCCAGAGGAGGAGTTTGGCCAGCTTTATGGGCTTCGGAGGGCAGCTGCAGGGCCCCCCAAAATTAATGCAAAGGCCGTGGTTGAAGAGTGGGGCGCACCGGTGCCACCCAGCTGTAATTGGACGAAAGCTGATGTGATCTCCCCCATCAGGAACCAGGTACCTGCCTCGCGGGGGGCGGGGTGGGGAGCACGGGGGATCTGGTGGGCCCCTCACCCCTTCCCCCTTCCAGGGACAGTGTAAGTGCTGTTGGGCCATGGCGGCGGCAGACAACATCGAGGCCCTGTGGGCCATCGGGCAGCAGTACAAAGTGAACGTCTCTGTGCAGGGTGCGCTGGGAGAGGGGGCCCGGGGTGGGTGGGGGGCATAGGCAGGGCCCCGGTCACCCATACTCCCCTTCCTGACCCAGAGCTAATCGACTGTGACCGCTGCGGGAAAGGCCACGAGGGAGGCTTTGTGTGGGACGCATTTTTCACGGTTCTCAACAACAGTGAGTGGGTGCCGAGTGGGGGTGTGGGCCCCGAACTGTGACAACTGTGAGGCTGCCGGGTGGGGGCGTGGGCCCTGACACGCTCCCCACAGCCCCCATCAGTGAGTGGGTGCCGGCTGAGGGTGTGGAACCCCATCTCCTGCTCGCTGTCCTGCAGGCGGCCTGGCCAGCGAGCAAGACTACCCCTTCAGGAAGGACTGCAAGACCCAGAGGTGCCGGGCCAGGGAGCACAGGAAGGTGGCCTGGATCCACGACTTCGCCATGGTGCCCAAGAACGAGCACGGTGCGCGGAGGGAGGCACAGGGGGGCAGTGAGGATAAAGAGGCTGCGGGAGGAGTGTGCGCCATGTGGATGCAGACAAGGGCAGGATGTGTGTGTGGGGGTGTGTGTGTAGAAAAGGGCATGGATATGTGTACAGACATGGGGAGAGTGTGTGTGTGTACAGACACGGGCAGGGTGTATATGTGTATATGTGTGTGTGTGTGTAGACACGGGCAGGGTGTGTGCGCACATGTAGACACAGGTTAAAAGGGTATATGTACAGATACAGGCAGGGTGTATGTGTGTAGACACAAGCAGGGTGTGTGTGTATATAGACAGGGGCAGGGTGTGTGTGTGTGTGTGTGTGTAGACATGGGCAGGGTGTGTGCGCGCATGTAGACACAAGGTAACAGGGTATATGTACAGACACAGGCAGGGTGTGTGTGTGTAGGCACAGGCAGGGTGTGTGTGTATAGACACAAGCAGGGTGTGTGTGTATATAGACAGGGGCAGGGTGTGTGTGTGTGTGTGTGTAGACATGGGCAGAGTGTGTGTATAGACACAAGCAGGGTGTGTGTTGTGTGTAGACACGGGCATGGTGTGTGTGTGTATAGACATGGGCAGGGTGTATATGTGTATGTGTGTGTGTAGACATGGGCAGGGTGTGCATGCGCATGTAGACACAGGGTAACAGGGTATATCTACAGACACAAGCAGGGTGTGTGTGTGTAGATATGGGCAGTGTGTGTAGACATAGGCAGAATGTGTGTGTGTGTACACATGGGCAGGGTGTGTGTATAGACACAGGCAGGGTGTGTGTGTGTGTGTGTAGACGCGGGCAGGGTGTATGTGTGTGTGTAGACACAGGCAGGGTGTGTGTTGTGTGTAGACATGGGCAGGATGTGTGTGTGTGTGTGTGTGTGTGTATGTGTGTGTAGACATGGGTGGAGGGTGCAGACATGTAGACATGGGCTGGCGGGTGGAGGGCAGGAGCAGCAATGGAGGTGCGGGGTGCTGGGGGGAGACAGACCCCAGGAGGCGAGCAGGTGCTCAGGGCCAACGCTGCTTCCACCCAGACATGGCTGCCTACCTGGCCAACCACAGCCCCATCACGGTGACCATCAACAGAAAGCTCTTGCAGGTGGGCAGGGGAGAGGGTGAATTTGGGGGGCCCCCAGAGAGCCTCACTCAGAGCCTCACTCGCGCCTCTCGCCCGCAGCTGTACACCCGGGGCGTGATCAAGGCAACGGCCGCTGACTGTGACCCACGGGTGGTGGATCACGTGGTCCTGCTGGTGGGTTTTGGCAAGAACTTGGGCCAGGCCACCACGGCACTGCGGCCTCGCCCGCGCCCCTCTATCCCATACTGGCTCCTGAAGAACTCCTGGGGGGTCGAGTGGGGTGAGAAGGTGAGCAGGACCTCCGGGGTGGGGGCACGGGCGGGCCAGGCGTCCCCTCACCCCGGGTCCTTCCTCAGGGCTACTTCCGCCTGCACCGTGGGAGCAACACCTGCGGCATCACCAAGTACCCCTTCACTGCCCTGCTGGACCAGCTGGGGCGACATCCCTGCCCGCGCTGAGCCCCCCGCCCCAAGTTGGGCTGGCACCCCGGAAACTGTTGTGCTCTGGCTAAAATAAAGCGAGATGAGGCCCCGCCATCCGGGCAGACGCATTGGGGTGACAGGCGGGGCACACGGGGGCCTGACTCAGCCCCTCCACCCCCGCGCCCCCTGGCTGGCAGGTCAGCTGTCCTGTGGGCAGGGTCTGCCAGGGAGAGGACAGACACCGTTCCCACCTGGCATGCTCTTCAGGGCTGGCAACGTACCCCCACACACCTCATCCTACATCTCCTTCACCCCCATACGGGCACGCTGCACCCCTCATACACACCCATCATACACGCACCTCACCCCCTCGCCCCCCCCCACACACCTGACCCTACACAGGCATGCCACACCGGACACACGCACGCATGCACGTGGGGATGCTGCCCGAACCCCCGGCCGGCACCACGCAAGGCTCCTCTATGTCATTGGCGGCTTTATTGGCGGCGGCCTCAGTCGTGGTAGAGACGCAGGAGGCAGCCCCGCAGGGTGCCCATGTACCGGTCCCAGAGCGCCTGGTGCCTGCGGGGACAGCGAGGAGAGACTGCCACTCCCCGCACCCCTGCCCAGCGGCCCCTCAGCCTCACTGTCCTCCCCGTGCCCTGTTCCTGGACAGCAAACCCGACACAGGGCGGGAGTCAGGCTGCTCAGGCCCCGGGACCTCAGGGGCGCAGCGGGGGATGCGGGTCCATGGAGGCCCCCCGGGGGGTGGGTGAAGAGGGAGCCCGGAATGCGCCCACAAAGGAAGGACAGAGTGATGGGGGGGAGGCGGGGCTCTCACCGGAAGCCATCCAGGGAGTGGACGGACGCCGAATACTGATGCAGGAACAGCCGAACGTCATTCAGGGGCCAGTGGTCGGAGCGGCAGGGTTCTATGAACTGCGGGCCCAAGGGAGCAGTCACCGTGGGGGGGCCCGAGTGGGTGGGGGTGGGTCCCGAAGGGCACGGGCAGGGCCTCCCTCACCTTCTCCACCAGGTCCACGAAGAGGTCTCTGACGTCCTTATTGTGGGTCAGTTTGGCAGCCACGTTCACCAGCCCCCGGGACAGGTTCTGTGGGGCAGGGAGCTGCAGGGTCTGGGGAAGGGGCAGGCGTCGCCCCCAAATCTATCTGCCTCCCTCCACTCGCCGCCTGCCCACTCCCAGGCGGGCCGAGGGGGCCGCAGCGCCACCTGCCGGCCACCCACGGGCAGGAGCACGGCTGCATCCAAGGGACAGAGGCTGGACTGGGCCACAGACCTTGAAGTTGGCCTCCATCTCCGAGAAGACGCCGAGCTTTCCCCGGAGGGCGGTGCACACCAGGCTGCGGAGACACGGGGCGAGAGGCTAGTGCCATCGAGGACCCCGCGGCCTCCGGCTCAGCCCCTGGGGGACCCCCAGGGCACCTCTTGTGCAGGTCCAGAAGGTCCTTGTCGGCCACGAGCACCTTCAGCTCCTTCAACTCCTGGAGAAACTCCTTGTCCAAGTCCATGTCCATGTCGTCCGCCTGGGAGTCTGAGTGGGGGCACGGAGGGAGTGAGGGGGGGTAACGTCCCCTCCCCAGCATCCCCCGCTGCACTGACACGCCATTAGACAGAAGAGGACAGTCCTGAGGTGCAACAGCTCATCCCGGGTCACGGAGAGCGGGAAGCCTGCGTGTGCAGCCGGGCAAGTGCGTGGCCCTGAGCGGAAGTGGCGCTGGGAAGTGGGGGTGCGGCAGGGTCCAGCTCGGCGGGGGCCTCACCCACGGCTCCAAGGGTCCAGTTCTGGATCATGAGCTCGGCGCAGAAGGCAAAGTCGCCGAAGCTCAGATACTGCAGTTTTTTCTTCCCGGTCTCAAAGCGGTTGTTGGCAAAGAAAACGATGGCTGCGTAGTCCCTGCAGGGAGGGGCGGGGCGTCGGCGGCTTCCTGCAACCTGAGGTCTCCCTCCACCGACTCACCTGCCTCGGCCTCCTCACCGGGCAGAGCCGAGGGTCTGGCCCGTCCCCCAGCCCTGCTGGCGAGAGGCCAGGCTGGGACCCAAGCCCCAGAACAGGCCAGGTGAGACCAGCGCGCCCCGCACAGCCAGGAGGGGAAGAGGGGCCCTGTCTCCCGCTCACCTGGCCAGCCGGTCGGACAGGAGAAAGTGCTGCTGGATGTTATCCACCAGGGAGCCCCGCATTTCCTCCACCACCTTGAAAACCCGCTTGAAGTTGTCAAACTGCAGGGCAGAGAGGGGAGGATCAAGCACCAGTCATGGGGTGCCCCCCCCACCAGTCCATCCGTTAGATCAACTGATGCTGGGGTAACACTGGGCGTCAGTCACAGACGCGAAGGGAGTGGACACACAGCTCACAGGGCCAAGGGCAACACTGTCTAGGTAAGCAGCAGAGGGAGGCTGGCAGGGACAACAGCCCACAGGAGAATCTCAGGGTTAAGGTCAAGGGCGTGGAGGGGCTGGCAGGGACAACAGCCCACAGCCTACAGGGTTAAGGTCAAGGGCGTGGAGGAGGGGAGTGGGTCTCGGTGCAAGTTTAAGAGTTGGGGCGTCGGATCAAAGCTGCTGCAAGGTCACTCGGACCAGAGGGGGAGGTGACTTGTGACGGGGGTCCTGCAAGAGTAAGGAGTCTGGATGTGAAGACACTGTCCCCATCAGAGACGGGAGCACGGCCAGGCTGTCGGGGGGCGGGCGGCGCCCACCTGCCTCCGGCAGCTCTTCAGCGTAATGCCTGTCTTGGTGCTGATGTCGTCGAGGTCCTTCTTGGTGCCCTTGGACAGCTTCTTGCCCAGGACCTCGCGCACAAAGGCCTCGTCAAAGGCGTAGTACCTGGCGCGGAGGCAGAGGAAGCCAGACGTGGCCCACGGCAGCAGGAAGGGGCGCCGTGGGTGGGGGTCGCGGGCAGCCCGGCCGGTGGCCGGTGGGGCCTCTGCCCGGCTCACCTCTCGATGAGCAGCGCCTGGCGCGAGGGCGGGATCTGGAAGACGAGCTGGTGCAGCAGCTTGGGCGGCGCGTGCAGCAGGCGCTCGAGCATGTGGAAGGTGCGGTAGTGGTCCATGGTGTCGCTCTGCAGCACCGCCGGCGTGGCGCCCGTCTGCTCCAGGATGCCCGAGCGCACCCGCAGGGCCACCGCGTCGTTCACTGCGGGAGGGCAGGGGCGGGTGGGCGCCGGCCCGGCAGCCCCCCAGGCGCACGGCTCGGTCCCGCCCCGCTGCCAATCCCCAACCTCCGCCACGCCCGGCGGGCGGCGCCGCCCCCCGCGGGGCCCCCCGCCCACACCTGAGTAACCGTCCAGCCAGAGACGGTACACGTCCTCGTCGATCAGGGTCGTGTTGCCCACGAAGATGTCCAGCTCGCTGGCCATGGCGACGCCCCCGACCCGCCCGGCCGCGGCCGGAGCGCTCCAGCAGGAGCGAGCACTGCCCGGGCCGGGCGCGCCGCGGCCGGGCCACTTCCGGGAGCGCCGCGCGGAGGCTCCGGGTACCCGGAGGCGGAGCAGGACCACTTCCGGTGGGGCGGGCGGGGCCGCGGCGGCCGGTGGGGTGGGGCCAGCGGCTGGCCCCGCCCCGGCGGGAGGGCACCGCCCACCCACCCCCACCCACCCCGGCCCAGTTTGCTCGCGGGCGTGGGAGCCGAGGCCTTTGGCCCGTTTCCCTGCCCAGCAACAAACCCTCCCCACTCATTTCCTCCCTTTCATTTTTTTTTCTCTACTTTTTCTGCCACTGTTTTGTTTCTTGGACCTGTATTCTAATTTAGGGGGTTCACCAGATTCTAGTTCAAATCTTTTTTTTTTTTTTGCTATTTGAGTCACGCCTGGCGATGCACAGGGGTTACCCCTGGCGGTGCTCAGGGGACCATATGGGATGCTGGGAATCGAACCCGGTTCGGCCGTGTGCAAGGCAAATGCCCTACCCGCTGTGCTATTTCTCCAGCCCTCAAATCTTTTTTTTTTTTTTTTTGCTTTTTGGTTACACCCAGTGATTCACAGGGGTTACTCCTGGTTCATGCACTCAGGAATTACTCCTGGCCATGCTCGGGGGACCATATGGGATGCTGGGAATCGAACCCGGGGTCGGGCTGCGTGCAAGGCCAACGCCCTACCCACTGTGCTATCACTCCAGACCCCTCTAGTTCAAATCTTTACACTGCCCCTCTCCAGTAAGGTTTTCCTGTCCCACTTTTAGGGTTCTTGCTGAGAACCGCTCAGTCCACCTTACCGATAAGCACCTTTCTTGGCCATGGGGCGCCTGCTCCTACAGTTTTTATGCACCCCCTATTCTGCAGCTCAGAGAGTGTCTGGGAGCCCACAATTGCAGGGCTCTGTAGCAACAAGGCCTGCCTTCCTTCCTTCTTGCCTTCCTTCCTTCCCTCCTCCTTTCCCCCTTCCTTTCTTCCCTCCTTCCCTTACTCCCTTCCTTCCTTCCTTCCTTCCTTCCTTCCTTCCTCCCTCCCTCCCTTCCTTCCTTCCTTCCTTCCTTCCTTCCTGTTTTGGGCCACACCCAAATTTAGTACTTAGGACTTGCTCCTGGCTCTGCACTTACATATCATTCGGGTGTGCTTCATGGCATGCTTGGGATTTCACCCAGGTAGCTAGCGTCTTATCCTCAATACTATCCAACCGCCCCCCTCCATCCGTTTCTTTTTTGTGCTTCTGTCTGTGTTAACCTCAACATTCACGCACGATCAGCGCAAACCCTGAGTTTTCCCCCCCCCTCCCAGATTCCTCTCTCCCCACATTCAAACTTCCTGAATATTTCTCCTTGATGTTTTCATGTGCTTGAATATTTCTAGTATCTTGTTTTGTGCTCTCCACCCGCGCTGGCAAGGTCCCAGCCCTCTGCAGGACGCTCCCCTAACATTGATACAGTGTTTTTGCTCATCTCCCACAAGCATTCCATCCCCAGGGTCCCTTGCAGAGAGATTAATTTGAGCAATCTTTCCTCAAAAAAAAAAAAAAGGGGGGGTCACACCCAGCCGAGCTCAGGATTTACTCCTGGCTCCTGCCCTCAACTGCTTTTTTTGGAGGGTGGGGGTGGGGGGCGGGCAGCGGGCAACCTGGCAGTGCTCAAGGTTTACTCCTAACTCTCCACTCAGGCATTAACTCCTGGTGGGACAGGGGAGACCGTCTGGGCTGCCAGGGAGTGAGTAGTGGCATGCAAGGCTAGGGTCCCCCCTCTCCGTACTCACGCCCTGGCCCTTTCAAATGCTTATTTTTAATGACCTTACTCTGTTTATAGTCATTCCAAGCCAGTTGAAAGCCTTAAGAAACTGTTTTCCACTGTTTTTGCTGCTGCCTTCCCAGCAGGGTTGCTCCCGGCGCCCTGCGGGCCAGGGGACGGGAATCCACCCAGCCCTCTGCCCACAATCATTCCCGGATGTGCAGTCACCCCGTGGCCTCGAGATCTTTCAAAGCCCTGGGCTTCACCTCCAGGGAAACGCCGGGCCCCTCCCCCGTTGGCTTTTTGTTCCACACGGCCTGTCTTCTGCAGATTTGAATCTCGGTCAAGTTTATTTCTGCCTGGGCCTTGCGCACGATCAAGGTTTATGAAACAAATGAATCCCTTGTATGCAGAGAAAGTGTAGGGGGAGCTGATGAGAAACGTCTATTTGGGGACTTGATGGGGTCGGAACGAGCGTCGACGCGGGATACCGTCCCCATCCGGAGATGGGACCTTTGGACGTGGGGTTCCGAGGAGCGAGTCGAGACTCAGGGTTCCACTGGGGAATCCGGTGCCCCAGAGCCGAGGGTCGACGCTAGAGTCTCAGAAGGAGCCAAGAGGCCTAAGCGCCAGTCTGAGATGCTTTGGAATGGGGAGACCCGAAGCGCCGGCTCTAGGGTGGCCCGGCTCTGAGCGCGACTGACGGGGACCCCGGCGTTCACCCGGGTCAGCGCCGCCGTGGTCCAGAGGGGGCGGGGCCAAGCGGCTTTCTGCGCTCGGGCCCCGCCCCTCTCGCGGAGGCCTCTCCCGATTGGCCGGCCTCCCTCGACGTCATCCGGCCCCGCCCCGGCGCGCGCCTCGCCGCGTGCCCGCCCCCGGGCGTCTGCAGCAGCCTCGGCTCCCTCCTGCCGCCGCTCGCCGCCCGCGGAGCCCGAGCCGGGGCCCGAGCGTGAGCGGCGCCGGGCTCGACGCGGGGCTCTCGGGCCGCGGCGCCGGGCAGGCGATGCTCCAGAGGCCTGAGGAGCCATGGAGGCCGAGGCGGGCGGCCTGGAGGAGCTGACGGACGAGGAGATGGCGGCGCTGGGCAAGGAGGAGCTGGTGCGGCGCCTGCGGCGAGAGGAGGCGGCGCGCCTGGCGGCCCTGGTGCAGCGGGGCCGCCTCATGCAGGAGGTGAATCGGCAGCTGCAGGGCCACCTGGGCGAGATCCGCGAGCTCAAGCAGCTCAACCGGCGCCTGCAGGCCGAGAACCGTGAGCTGCGCGACCTCTGCTGCTTCCTGGACTCGGAGCGCCAGCGCGGGCGCCGCGCCGCGCGCCAGTGGCAGCTCTTCGGGACCCAAGCATCCCGGGCGGTGCGCGAGGACCTGGGCGGCTGTTGGCAGAAACTGGCCGAGCTGGAGGGCCGCCAGGAGGAGCTGCTGCGGGAGAACCTGGCGCTGAAGGAGCTCTGCCTGGCGCTGGGCGAGGAGTGGGGTCCCCGCGGCGGCACCGGCGGCGCGGGGGGCACCGGCGCCGCGCCAACCCCCGAGCTCGCTTTGCCGCCCTGCGGACCCCGTGACCTGGGCGACGGGAGCTCCAGCACGGGCAGCGTGGGCAGCCCCGATCAGCTGCCCCTGGCCTGCTCCCCGGATGACTGAGGACGCTCCTTGGCGTCGACGCCCGCCCTGAGTCTTCCCCAGACGCCGGCCGGGTTGCGGTGGACTTCTGGACCCGACGCCGCCCGGCTGCGCCCGAGAGGCCCGCTGGCATGGACTTGGAAACCCGGCCACTGGGGAGGGTCCCCGGAGCCCGCTGGAGGGGCGGCAGCGGAGGGACTGGCTGGGGGCTGGGTGGAGGCTAATAAACCGGGAAGGAAGCAGAGTCCGCGGCCTGGGCAGCGTCTCTCTGGGACTCGCTGGGGTTGGGAAGACGGGGGCGCGTTTGGGTGATCGCGGTTGATCCGGACCCGGTTCCCCACGGAGCGGCCGCAGAAGGCGGCTGGTTCCGTTACCTCCAGCCACTGAGTCCCCATACCCCTTGGGGCCCTGGGACAGGCCATAATCCGGCCCCCAAGTGGCTGCGGCTCCTTTCCCGGCTCCTTCCTGTCCAAGACAATGGGGCAGGAAGCAGGTGTTGGGGGGCCTGGAACCCCCCCAGGCGCCGCCCCCGAGGCAGGAAGAGGCAGGGCAGTGCCCTGTGGCACCGTGGCTAATCCTCTTTGCCCTGACTGGGCCCTCATCCTCCCAAGCGGATGATGAGGCCGCGTAGATGGCTCCTTGGCCCCGAGAACAATGCGGATCCCCAAATCTCCAATCCTGGGTCCAAGGTCACGCAGCATCTCGGGGTCCCGTGAGACTGAGGACAGAGCTTCAAGCCTTTTATTCCATTCTGGCAAGTTTGTATAAAAATACTCTATATAGGAAAATAAATAGCAGCTGTCCTCAGGACTTGGATTTCCTGGAGCTTCTCGGAGCTGGGAGCCAGCTTCTCACTGAATCCCCTTCCGGAGCTGTGCCTCGGCCGGGGGAAACAGCCTGCTTCGGTCCCGGAGCGCTGCTGACGGGGCAAGGGGCGAGCTAGTGTTCTGGGCTGGTGGAGGATCACCTTCTGTTGGGGAGGACGCAGTGGGACACAAGGAACGCGGTGACCGCCCCTCCTTGGGTGGCTCGGAGGGGCTCAGGGCTCAGAGAGTCTCTGAGCGTCTACAGTCATTTGGGGCTGCCGGGACTTCTGCACACACACACGGGAAATACTGTGTCAGGTTTGGTGCAAACTCTGCTGGAGAGAGTCCCGGCCCCGCCGGCTCTAGCAGAAAGCGGAATAGGCTCCCCGGGCTCGTGGAGGGAAGGAGAGTCCTCGGGGGCTCGGGGTGTGGGAGAGGAGGTCCAGCCAGCTGGACCCCAAGGCGCTGGAGAGAGTGGCCAGGATGGCACCCGCGGGCGGGAGGGCAGGGGTGCATCATAAGGCTAGCAAGGTGGGGGAGCCGAGGGGGTCCGAGGAAGGGTCCCCGCTGCTGCTGCTGCTCCTGCGGTGGGCGGAGGCGCAGGGCTCAGGGGTGCTGGGGTAGGTGAAGACCAGGCTGGGGGTGAAGGGAGTCAGGGAGGGTGTGGTCATGAGTGTGGGGGTGTGCAGGGCTTCGGGCTCGAGCACGGCGCCCGGCGACAGGGAGATGCAGGGCACGGGCCGGGCGGGGCCCCGCGGGCTGCTGGGGCCGCTAGGGCCGGCGCCGGGGTCGCGCTCGGCGCCCTCGGGGATCTTGCAGATGGGCCGGTGCGCCTCCAGCACGAGCTCCAGCCGCTCCTTCTGCTTCTGCAGTTCCTCGATCTCTCGCTGCAGAACGGATTTCTCGTCCTCCAGCTTGTCGGTCTCCTGCGGGGAGAGGAGTCGGGGAGATGAAGGGTGGGGAGGAGGGGGGCGGGCCGCGGGCGCTCCGACGACACTGGCCTACAACTCCCGTGAGCCCCTGGGAGCAGGAGCCGCGCTCGGGGGCTACCCGGGACGCGCATCTGCGGGGGCTGGAGCGCTGCCGCCCGGAGCCTTTCGCCCGCGGCTCCGAGGGCCCCTTCCCCGGAGGACGGTCCCTGCGACCGGGAACCGGAGGCTGGGGACGTGGTGGACCCCGGTGTATCCCCCCCACCCCCCAAGAGCCGGTGGGCCGGAGGCCGGGTACCCTCGAGGCCGGCCGCGCTCACCGCCTGCAGGAAGTCGGTCAGTTCCTTCCTTCTGTTCCTGCACTTGGCCGCGGCCAGCTTGTTTCGCTCGCGCCTCACTCGCCGACGCTCCTCCTCCTCGGGGCTGATCTGGGGGAGACGGGGAGCCGGTGAGGGAGACCCTGCCCCCCTGACCCCTGCCCGGCCGCGCCCGCGGGTGGAGGGCAGGCTGCATGGGCAGGCTGCATGGGGGTCTGCGTAGCCTGCGCGCTAGGGACCGTGGCACCCGGGCTGCACAGATTTCTTCCCGACACCCCGGTTCTGACCCCCCCCTTCTCCCACCACCACAAGCTTTCTTTCGCCCTCCTCGTTTCAGGGCCACTAGGTTCTGCTCTGGTCCCGGAAATCAGAAGTGACCTTTCCTCTTCTGCCTGGGGGACCCTAAGTGATGCTGGGAATTGAACCCGGGTCGGCTGCGTGCCAGGCGAGTGCCTTCACCCCTATACTATCGCTCCGGCTCCCTCTTTTTAAAATTTAATTTGGGGCTCCGGAGCGATATGACCTCGGGCAGAGCATTTGCCTGACATGCAATTGACCTGGAGTTGATGCCAAGTACCTGATATGGGCCCCCAAGCTCTGCCAGGAGTAATTCCTGAGTGCAGAGCCAAGAGTACGCCCTGAGCACCTCTGGGTGTGGCCCCCAACCAAAATAAGTACATTTAAATTAGATGTTGGGTGACCTGACGCTGCCCAGGGGTACCTCTCATCTCTGTGCTTGGGATCACTCCCAGACATGCTTCCAGCTCCAGCCTATTGAGATCTCACTGGTTTTTTTTTTTTTTTTTTGGCTTTTTCTGCTATACCCAGTGATGTTCAGGGGTTACTTCTCTGCACTCAGGAATTATTCCTAGTGGTGCTCAGTGCTCAGGGAACCATATGAGATGCAGGAGATGGAAGCTGGGTTGGCCACATCCAAGGCAAACATTCTAAGTGCTGTTCTGTCACTCACCCCCCTGGCCCCTTTTTCAGTTTTTTTTTTTTTCTTTTTGAGTTACACCCAGCTACTTACAGGGATTACTCCTGGCTCTGCACTCAGGAATTACTCCTGGCGGTGCTCAGGGGACAATATGGGATGCTGGGAATCGAACCCGGGTCGGCCGCGGGCAAAGCAAACGCCCTACCCGCTGTGCTATCGCTCCAGCCCCCTTTTTCAGTCTCTTGATAACCACAATTCTCTTCCCCTGGGGGCTGGCAGCACTCAGAGGGGCTAGTGGAAGGTGCCAGGACCTTGTTGATGATTTTATTTATTTTTATTTTATTGAGGGGGTTGGGGCCACACCTGCTCAGGGGTTACTCCTGGCTCTGTACTCAGGAATTACTCCTGGAGGTGCTCAGGGAACCATATGGGACTTCAGGGTCCTGCAAGGCAAGTGCCCTACCCCCGATGATTATCTTATTTTATGGAGAAGCTTTTTGTTTGTTTTAGCCACACAGGGAGGTGCTCAGGGATCACTCCTGGCCTGCTCAGCGGACCCTCTATGGGGGTCAGTCACGGGCAAGGTCTGAGCCTTAACCCCACGCTATCTCTCTGGCCCCAGGGCCTTACAGATCCTTCAGCCAACTTCCCTGAGGTCCACCGACAGGGCACCACTCTCCTAGGGTCCTCAAGCATATGCTAAAACCAAGTCATTCATCAGCATCCAGGGAGGACCGAAGGAGCCTCACAGCTCAGCCCCTGGAGGACCAAACACTGGGCCGCTCTGGAAGGGCAGAGGGAGGAAGGGAGGGAGCACAGGGCCTCATCCTGGCTGACTGCACTGGACCCTCGCAGGCTTCTCTCCCACGACCCCTCGCACCTTCCCTGCGCCCCCCTCGTACCCACGACCAGAGTGAACCCTCGAATAAAAAGTGCACCCCCTATGGGGCGGGAGCGATAGCACAGCAGGTAGGGCGTTTCCCTTGCACGTGGCTGACCTGGGTTCGATTCCCAGCATCCCATATGGTCCCCCGAGCACCGCCAGGAGTAATTCCTGAGTGCAGAGCCAGGAATGAATAACCCCTAAGCATCACCGGGTGTGACCCAAAAAGAAAAAAAAGAGTGCAACCCCCCTACAGGCTCAAACCCAGTGTTCCTGGGGCACAAGAGGGAAGCAGGAGTTCTGGGTTCTGGGTTTGTTCCTGGGAAGCGGCGATGGGGCTGGGGACGGGTATGCAGCATTTCCCAGCTCACTCAGCTGTTTTTTTGTTTTTTTGCTTTTTGGGTCACACCCAGCGATGCTCAGGGGTTACTCCTGGCTTTGCACTCAGGAATCACTCCGGGCGGTGCTCAGGGGAACCATATGGGATGCTGGGAATCGAACCGGGGTCGGTCACGTGCCAGGCAAATGCCCTTGAAGCTGTGCCTTTGCTTCAGCCCCCAGCTGACCCAGCTCTGAAACCTCCATCTGAGCGTGGCTTGAATTCAAAGTCGAACTGGGTCTCCTTCTTCACAGCTGTGTGATCTGGGCCCAGTGACCTTTCAGCTCTGAGCTCTCCTACCTCGGACTGGCTAGTGGGGGAAACCCAAGGGCATTCCCTGAGGGTTTTTGTAAGAATTCCACCGTAGGGGGCCGGAGCTATAGTGCAGCAGGGAGGGCGTTTGCCTGGCATGTGGCCCACCCGGGTTCGATTCCCGGCACCCCATATGGTTCCCCAGAGCACTTCCAGGGGTGATTCCTGAGTGCAGAGCCAGGAGTACGCCCTGAGCATCACCGGGTGTGGTCCAAAAAGCAAAAGAAGAAAAAAAGAATTCCACAGTAGATAGGGGGCAGACCTTGTCACTCTGCTTCTTAGAAAGCCCACCGTCTCCAGACCTGCCGACTGCCCCCTCATTTCCACATGTCCACCTGCCTGCCCCTCCTTCCTGTGCTGGCCACCACTGCTGGAAAGTCCTTTGCTTCCCCTATGTCTACACACTTACTACTGAGCTAATATGCCTCCACCTCCAGGAAGCTTTCCAGGTCCAACCCCATCAGTTTGCCCTTCCCAGGGACTCCTGTCATTTCCTTTCCAGCAAGAGTCCCTGGAGGAACCCACCCTCTCAGCCTGTCTTCCAGGCCAGAACTTGTGCTTCTCGAGCCCCTGCACCCAGCAGACTTTGTCCCCTGCCCCTCGGCACCCTGTGGGTATCGGAACCCACTCACCTTACCTGTTCGCTGGGCCGCCGCCGCACCCCCGGAGGTGGCCCCAACACCCGGATGACTCCTGGCCGGGGCACTGGCGGGCTGAAGTGGGGGTAGGTAAGAGGCCTGGGGTAGGTGCTGGGTCCCAGGAACTGAGGCTGCACCAACCACTGAAGTTCCTGAGTTCCGCTCACAGCATTGATGCTCGGCCCCAGGTGGAACTTCTAGGAGGGGGGAGCAGAGAGCCGGGGGTGAGGTGTGCAGACTGAGGGCTTCCACACTTCCACTCGCCTTCCCTGCCACTGCTGGTTCTGAGAGACCAGAAAGACGGCAGCAAGGTAGAGGGGCTGACTTGGTGGAAACGCCACGCTCCAGAGTTGTGTGACTTTGGACAGATTGCTTAACCTCTCTGTGCCTCTGCACGCCCATCCAAGCGAATGCTGACAAATTGTGAAGTTCAGGCACTGTCTTACCACTTGATGCTTTACCCTTAGTATTGAACAACAGTACCTCCAGTGTGTGTGTGTGTGTGTGTGTGTGTGTGTGTGTGGTGGAGGTTGGGTGGGCAGGTGATTCTGGGGATCGAATCAGGGTCTCATACATGCAAAGCAAGTACAAATACTTTATCACTGAATCACCTCCCTGGTCCCCCCTTTTTTGGGGGGGGTTTCTTATGACTAAGCAGTGCTCAGGAGGGCCCCAGGGCAGTTCCCAGTGATGCTCTGAGCAGGACATGCTGGTGGCCATCAGGGCTCCACCGGGTGCTGTGAATCAGGACTCAAGACTCCTGAACACTGAGCCTGCCTCCCCGTCTTCATTTGAAACAGTGAAACTGTTGTCCACCGACCAGCACCCAGAAGGGGGGGCTTGAGTCTGGTGGCTAGGTGGGGCCACTCCTGAACCCCCCTGGAGTTCCATCTGCTACAGCTCCTGGCTCAGAGCACCTGAGGGCATCAGGTGAAACCCTGTGCCACCCAGCCTGGGAAGTGGCCCGTGTCCTGGCTGTTGGGGCCGTGGTGGGAGCCCTGCCCCGTGACTGGATGTCCCCACCTGAGTCTGGCCCAGCTGCACACAGACAGTTGGTTCTGAGCAATGACTGCAGTCCTCATTAAGGGTTATTTCAAGTTCTTGGTGCTAAGAAATACCTTTTCCTAGTTCTGAGATCAAATTGTATTTTATTGTTGTTATTGTTTTTGGGTCACACACTCAGGGGTTACTCCTGGCTCTGTACTTACGAATCACTCCTGGCGGTGCTTGGGGACCAGATGGGATGCCAGGGATCGAACCCAGGTCAGCCACATGCAAGGCAGACACCCTACCCGCTGTACTATCACTCCAGCCCCCCAAATTATACTTTTTGTCTTTGACCCACACCTGGCGAAATTCAGGGCTTTCTCTTGGCTCAGCACTCAGGAATTACTCCTGACGGGGCTCAGGGCACCATTAGGGATGCCAGGGATTGAAGCTGGGTTGACCATATGCAAGGCAAATGTCCTCCCTGTTGTACTGTCACTCCAGCCCCCAAGATCAAATTTCAGTTGGAAATTTTGGGGGTTCTTATCCAGCATGCTCAGGGGCTACTCCAGGCTCAGTGCTCTTTGCTTAGGGGACCCTGGCACTGCTTAGGGGACCCTGGGGTGCTGGGGATCAAGCCTGAGATTCCTGCTTGCAAAGCCTGCGTTCCAATCCTTAAGCTACTCCCGGTTTCCCCTCGCTGGAAATGTTTAGGGGGGTGATACTGGGTGACACCCAGTGGAGCATGGGGGCCACTCCTGACTCTGCTTGGGCACCGTATATGATGCCAGGGCTGGTAACATGCAAGACAAGCAGCTTAACCCCTATGTTATCTCGCAGCCCCTGATGGGCAGTTATTACCCAGTTTTTAAATCCGTGGTATAAAAATAGTTAATGAGGAGCCAGAGGGATAATAATACAGTGGTAGGGCATTTGGGGTCTAGGTTTGATTCCTGCCATCCCATATGGTCCTCTGAGCACCGCCAGGAGTGATTCCTGAGTGCAGAGCCAGGAGTAACCCTGAGCATCACCAGATGTGACCAAAAAAATAAAATTAATGATGAATTTTTCCTTTTTTTTTTTTTCTTTTTGGGTCACACCTGGCGATGCACAGGGGACCATAAGGGATGCTGGGAATCGAACCCAGGTCGGCTGCGTGCAAGGCAACCGCCCTACCCGCTGTGCTATCTCTCCAGCTCCTGGATTTTTCAATTCTTAGGGATTTAGAGTCCATAGAATACGGTAAATAGGTGGCGGTCAGTCAGTGATGCCGAGGCCTCCCTCGAATTACTGCTAAGATTTTCCAGCCAGAAATCTAAAGGATGGGCTGAGATTGAGGAATGAGTTGAGGGATGTATTCAACCGGGCTAGAAAATTTTGAGTTCAAGCTCTGAAGCTGGGCCCTGGGTGTGGGCGCCCCTGCTGCCAGGAAGCACCCCACAAGCCCAGACAAGTCGGGACCGCCGTGTCCCCTGCCCAGGGCTGCGGGCCCGGTGGCCCAGTGACCCCAGTTCCGGGCCTGGGGCGCCGCCGGCGGCCTCTCCCGCGCGAGGTTGTCCAGGCCAGGAAGGGAGGGGCGGCCGGGTGAGTCAGCCGCAGTGACTCGGCCACCGTGACTCGGCGTTCCGGGGCTCCTTCCCTCCCCGGCGACACGTGCTCGCAGCCCCTCGACAGGAAATGGGCATCTGCACTCCCCCAGGTGCCCCCCAGGCGGAGCCCGAGCCGCGGCGCGCGCGCGCGGCAGGTGGGGCGCGGGGGCGGCCCGAGGCGCGATCCCGCGCACGTCCCCGCGCCTCTCCGCATCCATTCCCGCTTTCAGGGGAGGGGTCCAGCCGACGGGGCGACAGGGACTTGGCGATGGGGGGGACACGGGGACAGACCCAAGGACAGTGGCGGACAGTGTCAGAAACTTCCCGCGTGGGGCCGGTGCGCGAGTCCCGTCTCCCTCCTGCGCGGGCACCGCTCGGTCCCTGCCCCCAGCCCGGGGATCCCGGGGACTGGAAGCCCGGAGGACGCGGACCCTCGGGGCCCCTCCAGCCCGGGGTGTCAGGGGTCCCTACGGACGCCGATGAACCAGGACATTAGCGGGGGACAGGCGGGAATACGGGGGACAGGCGGCGGGGCACGGGACAGGCGGCGGGGCACGGGACAGGCGGCGGGGTACGGGACAGGCGGCAGGGCACCCGCCAGCAGACAGCGAGGGGAAAGGGGGGTGGGCCAGCGAGGGGGGTCTCTGTGCCGCCTTCCCCTGGACGGCGCGGCAACGGCGCTACAAGGACCAGGGTCCGAGTTCGGGTCCCCGCCCGCGGTTCCCAGCCCGGGAGCGAGCGGTCCGCAGCGTCGCGGGCGCTGTCCAGCCCGGGGACCCCCGCGGCCGGTGCGTCTCACCTGTTGGGCGGCGGCGGGGGGCTGCGGGGGGCCGCCGTACGCGCCGCCGGCCCCGGAACTCGGTCCCGGTTCCCCGAAGTCTCGGAACATGCCCTGGGCTGCAGCTCTCCCGGGCCCGCGTCGTCGGCCGCGGTTCTGACTCACCGGCGGCCCGCGGAGCCTTTTCTTCTAATGAATGAACTCAGGAGGCTGACCCAGTGCGGCGGGCGGGGCTGTCGCACGTCGGGGCTCCTCCTCTCTCCCGGCGCCTCTGGCCCGAGTGGTAGCCCCCGCGGCCGCCGCCCCGCCCCGTGACGCAGCTGCCCGTACACGGTGCGGTGCCCGGCGCGCCCAGGTGCGAGGATTCCCCGCGCGGGCACCTGCGCCCCGCCCGCGCGCCGCCGGGCACCGCCCGTCGTCAGACTGGGGGGCGCGCCCCGCGCCCACCGACCTGGCCGCGCCGGGGAGGCAGGAAGGGACGCGTGGAAAGGGGGGCGGAGGGCTGGGACCCGTGACCAGGTTCGCGAGTGGGACGGGTTCGCGATCGCTGCCGCCGTGATCGCCGACGGGGCGAGTCCAGCGTTTCCAGTAAAGGAAGGTTTCGCGTGCGGGCCGGCTGGGGAGGAGTAATGCCACATCAGACTTAGAATAGCGACAAGGCCGTCGGTGGCATCTGCTTCCGATTTGTTTCTTTTCCACCCTCCTTCCTCCCGTGTCTGTTGTGATGACTCGGGGTCCGACTCAGGCTCGTGGTGGGGCTCCTTAAGGACTTGGCGCTCACCCGCCCAGGGCTCTACTGAATCCTACTCTATGTTTGGGGAAAGGGGCCCACACCCCGGTACTCAGGGCTTATTCCTGGTTCTGTGCTCAGGGATCTCTCCCGGCAGGGATCAGAGGACCATATAGGGTGGCAGGTTCTAACCAGGTCAGCCGTGTGCAAGGCAAGCGCCTGACCCACTGTGCTATTTCTTTGGTCCCTGGGTCTCTCTCTCTCTCTCTCTCTCTCTCTCTCTCTCTCTCTCTCTCTCTCTTTCTCTCTCTCTGTCTCTCTCTCTTTTTTTTTTGCCTTTTTTGGTCACACCCGGTGATGCTCAGGGGTTACTCCTGGCTCTGCACTCAGGAATTACCCCTGGTGGTGCTCAGGGGACCATATGGGATGCTGGGAACCGAACCCGGTTCAGCCGCGTGCAAGGCAAACGCCCTACTCAGTGTGCTATAGCTCCAGCCCCTCTCTCTCTGGTTTTTGGGCTATACCCAACCAACAATGCTCAGAGGTTACTCCTGGCCCTGTCTGTGCTCAGGAAACACTCCCGGCAGGGCTCTGGGGACTGTATGGGATGCTGGGATCGAACCTGGGGTTGGCTATGTGGAAGGGAAACATCCTACCTGCTGTACCATTTCTCCCACCTCTGCATCCTACTCTTCGTCTGGATGGGTTTACTTTTGCATCACACCTGTTGGTACTCAGGACTTCTGGCTCTGCGCTCAGCATCACTCCTGGTGGGGTTCAGGGGATCATATACACTGCCGGGGATTGAACCTGGGTCACTGCTTGCAGGGTCAGCACCCTACCCGCTATACTATTGCTCTGGCCCCTGTTTGGACGGTTTGACTTTTTACATCACACACAGCAGTGCTCAGGGCTTACTCCAGGCTCTGTGCTCAGGGATCACTCCCAGCGGGCTCGGGGGACCATAGCGGTGCCTGGTAGATGCGAGGTGAGCACCTTCCCTGCTGTACTCTCTGTCCACACGCCCTCTTTGGTTATGGGCTCCTCCATTGTAGAGGTGAGTGGGACAAACCCATGCTTGCTGGGAGGGGCGTTCCCTGGCCCCCGTGCTCGCCTCTTTGTAGCTGGGGCTGGGGTGCGGGGTGTAAGCTTTAGCGGAAGTTCTGGCAGTCAGTAGAGGTGCCGGACATAAGCTCTGGGACCCCAAGATCTTCCTTTGGCTCAGGCAGGGGGTGCTCAGCTGTGGCACAACTTCCCAAGCCAATAGCGACACATTTCAAATGCTTCGAGGATCTCAGTGGTGCCGGCGGTCACGGCGAGTCCCGTGCAGGAGCACAGAGCCCCCCAGGTCCACGCCTAGGGCCAGCTGCCTGCGTCCTGCTTCAGAGCCACCGGCAGCAGCGACACCTGTGTGGCCCAGATAAACGCTGTCCCCTCGAGATCCTGTGGGCCTCTTTCGAGTCCGGTCTTTATTTTTGTACTGGGGCCACAGCCAGCAGTGCTCAGGGCTTAACCCCAATCTGCGCTCAGGATTCACTCCTGGAAGGGATCAGGAGACCCCTGTGTGGCATCCGGGGTGGCACATGGGCTGGCCGCATGCAAGGCAAGCTTCTTCCCCACGGTCCTATCTCTCGGGCCCTTGGTTGGAGGTTGTATCTGCAGACCGTGTGCGTGCAAGGCCAGAGTCCTAAGCAACCCAGGCCTGGGAGACAGGTGCCGCCCATTTCACAGATGTTGGAATGAACGGCCTGAGGACACGATGCCAGTGGCGGCCACAGCTCTGGCGGTTCCAAACCCAGCGCAGGTGCCAAACCCAGACTCCTCTTAGCTGGGTTCTCCCATTCCAGCCAGCACGTCGGTTCTGAGGACGGAGCCCCTCCAGCACTCCCTCCAGCCATCAGGGGAACAAACGGGAGCCAGTACTACGCTGGTGTAATGCTATTCAGGAGTGTGCCAGCCTCTCCCACCTCTGCTCGCTCTCCCGCGGTCTGTCCCGGTTTTAGCCTCAGAGCAGGGCCACTGCAGGGAGCTGGACCCAGGGCAGAGGATCTGTTGGTCCACTCAGGACTAGAGAACAATGTGTCCGGGGCCGGAGCAGGTAGAGAGCTCGCCTTGCACACCATCAGCCCGGGTTCGATCCCCGGCACCTGCTATGGCTCCCTGAGCATCGCCAGAAGTGATCCCGGAGTGCAGAGCCAGAGTCAGCCCTGAGCATCGCTGGGTGTGGCTCCCTCAGCCCCCCAAAAAGAAAACGCATCTCAGAATCAACCAAAAGAAGAAATATAGGTGTGTGTGTGTGTGTGTGTGTGTGAGTGTATGTGTGTGGGGGGGGTGGCAGCAGAGGGAGAAAGGGAGAGAGAATCACAAAGAAGGGGCAGGTTTTGATGCAAGAACGTGCCAGCTGGGGCCCCCCAAGTTCAAATTCCTGTTGGGTTACTCACTGGCTGTGGGGCCTTGTGAGCTGTCCAATCCCTCGGCACCCCCGTTTCCTGGTTGTGACATGAGCCCCAGCGAGAGCGAAGTCTTAGGGTTGCTGGAGAATGAAATAATGGCCCACGGCCCCATGTGTCTTCGGAGAAAAAAGCAAGGCAGGTGGCGAAGAGAAGCCCCAGAGGGGCTTGGAACAACATACACACACACACACACACACACGCATGCACAAACACAAACACACGTGTGTGCGCGCACGACTGATATGACTGAATTCCTTGACTGAGCTGGACACGAGGACCAGGTGTTGGGTCCTCAGAGGCCTGACATGGGCACACTGACCCCTTCCCGAGGCTGGCCAGGGAACGGCCATGTATATGATGAGTGCACACTGTGTGGCACTGAGTGACACTGTGTGACACAGTGTCACTGTGTGACACTGTGTGAGTGCCTGCACGTGTGAGTGTATCAGTACATGTGTGTATGTAACAGTGTGTTTGTGCGTGTGAGTGAGGATGACAGTGAGAGCACGCGCTTGATGGCTGAGAGGATCATCCGTCTTCGTGCTCTAACTGTTGCTGAGGCCACAGGAGGGCCTGTGAGTTATGGGGGCCTGTGAGAGATGGGGGGCCTGAGAGTTACAAGGAGCCTTGAGCTGTGGGGGGGCCTGTGAGAGACAGGGCACCTATGAGCGATAGGGGGGCCTGTGAGAAATGGTGCCTTGTGAGAAACGGGGTTCTGTGAGAGACGGGAGAATCTGAGAGAGATGCAGGACCTGTGAGAGACAGGAGAGTCTGAGAGAGACAGAGAGTTTGTGAGAGATGGGAGAGTCTTTGAGAGACGGGAGAGTCTGTGAGAGACAGGAGAGTCTGAGAGAGACAGGAGCATCTTTGAGAGACAGAAGCGTCTGTGAGAGACGGGAGCATCTGTGAGAGACGGAAGCATTTGAGAAAGATGTGGGGACTGTGAGAGACAGGCGAGTCTGTGAGAGATGGAGAGTCTGTGAGAGACGGGAGCATCTGAGAGAGACAGGAGAGTCTGAGAGAGATGCGGGGCCTGTGAGAGACAGGAGAGTCTGTGAGAGATGGAGAGTCTGTGAGAGATGGGAGCATCTGAGAGAGACAGGAGAGTCTGAGAGAGATGCGGGGCCTGTGAGAGACAGGAGAGTCTGTGAGAGACGGAGAGTCTGAGAGAGACGGGAGAGTCTGAGAGACAGCACATTCCAAGCTCCTCAGTCACTAACGCCTGCCTTGTGGCTTCAGAAACGTTCCTGGCCCCTGACCTCATCAGCTCCCACTCAGGGAGGCCCAGCGAGCTGCCCAGGGGGCCACAGCCTTGGCAGGAGCCTGGGGGTCTCTGGCGCCAGTGCCCCGGCAGCTGCAAGCCTGGCTCACTCGGTCCCTGTCCAGGCCACTGAGGGTCACCACCATGAAGGGGGGATAGAGGAAAGTGCTTTGTCCCGGACGCTGGAGGTGATGTCCAACTCTTTCTGTCCACTCACTTTTTTTTAAATCGAGCTTTATTTTTGAATGGAGACTAAACACACCACCACAATGAGCCATTTTCCAGTCCACACTTCAGTGCAATTTTGTGCTGCCGCAACATTGGGCAATCCTTTCTCTCACGGTGTCTGTATCACCCTGAACAACACCCGTTCCCTTCTGGTCATCACCCCCATTCCCCTCTGCCCGCCTGCCGGCCTCCCTGCCTTCCGTCCCTCTGGACACAGCCCCCGAGGAGGTCAGCGCCGGCGACTCCTGCTCCGAGTCGCGTGTCTGCTCTGGCTATTCAGAGTAACGCCGCTCTCAGCGTTTGTGTGAACTTGTGAACCCCTTTTGGGCTTCCACCCAGGAGTGGAACTGCTGGGCCTTCTGCCACCTTTTTTTTTCTTTTAGTTAACCCTGTGAGGGACTGCCCCCCGCCTGTTTCTAAGTCCATGGTGTGATTTTTCTTTTTTTTTTTCCTTTTTTGCTTTTTGTGTCACACCCGGCGATGCATAGGGGTTCCTCCTGGCTCTGCACTCAGGAGTTACTC